TTGTAAACTGCCTTCTATGGTACGAAAGCCCCGTCGGAATGTCTTGTTTTGGCGCCTTTTTTGTTGTGGCCCGCGCTGGGCTTTTTCCACGCTTTTGCTTTTTGTTCCAGCGAGTTCTTGTAGATTCTAGTTTGCCGCCAAGCAACATGCAGCAGCATTTCTTTGGCCATTGGGCCAATGTATCGAGAACACAACAGTAATAATCTACTACGACGGCATGTCAGAGCTGGTTTTGCTGCAAGGTTTGTGTTGTTCTTAATGCTGGTGGGTCAAAGATTGCAAGCATGGCGAGACTTCCTCCGCAGGGACAGCCTGCGGACCAGAGCTGTTGAAGCCATCACGGTAGGCACCAGGCCGCTGAACGCTCTCTTCCAACGTCGTACCGAACCACTGAACATTACATGACGGTTGGCATGGATGCTCTCTTCCAAAGTCGTACTGGCTCATGGACTGTATTCAAGCAGAAGGGGAGCAGCCCAGTCGAACGGGACTAGTCATTTTGAGGAATGGGAACAAACATGAACACACCATCTCGAAAAAACATTAAGGGGTTTGAGAGGCAAAAGATGAGCAAGCCAGTCAGGAGCAAACGGCTTGAACGAGACTGGATGATTGAGGGAGATGCACAGCAAGCAGCACACTGCCTACTCGTGTAGCCTGGATATTTGATTATGAGATATGTCGACACAGAGGAGAATCGTAAAGCGGAGCAGACCATTCCACAGGGATTAGGCAAATGGAGAACAAGAGCACACCGCTCCATCACAGAATTTGAAGGAGTATGGCAAATTCGAGAATTACAGAAACATGTCAGAAGCTATGCTGTCGGTGTGCTTATCAAAAGATGGTTCCAGTCTTTCGGAAGGTCTTCCTGTGGATAGCCTGACAGATGACAGCAACAGCGACCCACAAGGAAACATAGATATTCAACTTAGGACATTAAGGAACGCACAGAGCGCTACTTGAGCAATCCGAGCAGCAGGATTCTTGCGGCAACTAACTCGCAAAATAATGCTGGTACAGCAACCAGAAACAAGAAGAATCACAGAACAAGAGAAACAAGAAAGAAGAGCAAATGAACAAAGGAAAGGATGGGAGATGGCTCATCTCAGGTGGACCTGGCGACCTCACAGGCCTGGAGCGCAGTGCAAAGGACGAAGTGGGGGGGCCGTTTGAGAGCGGTTCGGAAGAGGTTTTTTTGGAGGTGTGTGGAGAGACTGCGGTTTTATAGGCTTTTATAGGGCTTTTATAGGGTTTTATAGGGTTTTATAGGCTTTTATAGGCTTTTATAGGGCTTTTATAGGGCTTTCATAGGATTTTATAGGGTTTTACAAGCTTTTATAGGCTTTTATAGGGTTTTAGAGGGTTTTAGGGTTTCGGTGTAGCGTTTAGTTGCTAGAGGGACGGGATATTGCAAAATTTACACATGCGTGCTGGTCGAGCGACATAGCAAGGGCTTGAAACGTAGCCCGTTTAAGTTGCAGGACGGAGCCCCTGGTTGAAATCCCTCCGGTCGTCATGCCAAGCCAGCTCAGCGTGGCACAGCCAATCAAGGCCCGCGGGAGATCTCACAGTCAGCTTGCAGCCTCCAGCGAGACTCTATAAGATAAAGGTGCAGCTACTCAGCGACGAGCTCGCGGTCAGGGTCAGGTCAGGTCAAGCCTCGTGTTGAGACACATGGGCATGAAAGGCCACTCGCGACACAACGAGAATCAGCGCAACCTTCCTTTCTTGCAAGCCAAAAGGCTCTCGCCCAAGCTGGGCCGCCTCCGCCAGCACCACCGCCAGCACTGCCGCCGGCGCCGCCCCCAGCGCCGCAGCCAGCGCCGCCACCAGCGCCGCCGCCAGCGCCGCCGCCGGTACTGAATCTGCCAGAGGTTCCGGATCCTTCTGCACAGGCGGGGCGGGGCCACGCTCTGCGACGACAGCAGACAAGCCAATGAAGTCTGAAGGCCACTGGCGCTTACGTGGAGCAGCTCTTCGCAAAGAACCGAGTCACTCGGATCCGCTCCCCCCAATGGCCCAATCCCCTGCCTTGATTATCCTATAGGTGAGCAAAGTGTGGCGCCCCTGAGCTACTGTAGGCAACAGAAACTGTGGCTGGTGGGCAGAGCAAGGAGGGGGCAGCATCACCCACAAAGCCACAAAGCCTGCTGCCCATGCTTTCTGCGAATACACAACTTTGGACATGTTCCCAGGCATAAAACGATGATCGACGCACTCGAAATTGCATGTTTTTTGTAGTGCTAGTCAGGCAGTACAGCCCCCTCGATAGGCGTTTTCGGTGCGCTTTGTGACTCGAAGCCCCTGTTTGTTCTAAAGGTCCTGCTGAGTCCTGCTGTGTTCGGACCTTGCAGGTCCTTGCAGGGTATGTTGTGTCAGAGTCTTGTGGGCGCGGTTTGATTTGTTCTACCTCCAGAGTGTAAAGCTTGTCCCAACATATCCCAACATCAAGCGAGTGTTGTTTTGCAGCAAAGCTAAAGATGTCATCAAGGCTTTGCTTGCCACAGCTGCCGTCTCTTTGATAACAATCCAATGCAGGAGTTCGAAATGCCCCTATTAGTAGTTCCAGAAACACAACTTACAGGACCCTTCTGCTACACGTCTTCTACCGTCGTATGTGGAACTCCCAAGCTAATCCGCCCTAATTTTATGCGATCTTCATGTTTGTGGAGTGCATCGTACTAGCCGAGGAGTGCGCTGACCAGGCGATGGAGATAGGCAACCTCCCGACCGTACAGGCCCGCTGGAGATAGCAATGCAATTGCTATATATTCATACATATATATATACACATATGTACATATATTTACATATAAATTTATATGTATATATGTGTATAAGACATATAACTGCGGGTGTATGTACATAATACTGTATAGCGGAGGAGCCAAGAGAACTTGACAGGCAGCTTCCGAGCTACACACGAGTGGCAAAGTGCCACTGAGGGAGGTTCAAGCTAAGTCAGCTACTTATTTTGGCGGCATGGCAACTTACTGCGGCTCCTTAGAGGCATCCTAAGCCTACGGGCTTGACCTGTATTTTGGTAGAGCTAGTACGTCGGAAGAAGGCTTGACCAGCCTGTTTCGTCAGTGACGCAGCCAAGAGCCCGTGGCCGCACAGCATGAACATCACTGGCATCCCGCTAGACGTACCGATCTTGGCAGCAAAGTTGTTCATTACATGAGCTTTTTTGCCCGACTTATGGAGTACACAGCTTGAGCTGTCGGCTATCATGTCAAATCCACGGCTAGTTTCTTCCAGAATTGGCCGCTCTGCTTCTGCTTTTGTGCTAGCATGTGAGCAAAATGAGTAGACACGTTGCTGGAAGTCTCCCTTGTTGTCAGCAGGCCTGTGACGAAGTGGTGTCTCGGCGAGGAGCTTCAGAAATCTCATCCCATGGTTCGTTTCGAGCCGAGTCAGTGATGCAACTAAGGTTGCGACGAAGCTTGAGTGCGGCCGCTACTTCATGCTCCTCGGACTACCAAATCCCCGATTCTCATCGTGTCACCGCAGAAGCAAAGCTTTCCGAACATTTACGGCTTCGTGGAAGCCCAGGTTTAGCCACGCACATCCAGACTGGATTTGCCGCTGCTGCTCAGTCCACGGTGAGGAGCGGACAGCCGGGCTTGGTTTCGCCGTGAAGATACTTGATCTTGCGGGTCTCGTCTCCAAAGTTTGGGTTGGGGTGCTTGGCGGAGGAATTCCGCAACAGCTGCTTTCCCTGGCAGGAGGAAGGTCCGGCCTCAGATCAGTGGAACGTTTCTCGGCACCGGACATCTGCAAGCAAAATGATCCTAGGGCTTAGAGCAGAGAACGAAGACGAGAGGCTTTGCCAGACACAGTTCCAGTGACACCCAGGAAAGGCAGAGCCACGGCCAAACGCAAGAGCAAGCCTTCTCGTGTTTCCTAAACCCTAGAAACCCAAAACCCTACAGCTTGTCATATTGCCTGGGGCCCTGCCTGAAACCTCATAACCCTTCCTATAGGGGAGCGCAAGCCGCCAGAAGCCCGATGTAAAACTGCCTACATAAAGCCGAAACAATCCCACCAACAAATTCAAGAACCCTAGAATCGCTATAGAAGCCCTCGGATTCGTAGATGAAGTCCTAACTCCGACCGAGGTCTTCAAGGCCCAGGTTCCGAGGGCTCCGGGTTTGCCCTTGGAGCCGCCCACGGCGCCCCCGGCGGATCCTTTCGCCGGGCTTCCCATCGCGTGCCTTGGGCAGCAGAAAGGAAGGAACCCACTAACGACAGCAAGGAAGTCTTCTTCAAGTTCGGGACACTTGGGAACCCCGAAAAGAGATGCGGTGCTACATGGCTGTGAGGATCCTCCTTGCAAGCGGGTGGGCAGTTCAGTCTACGGCCGCACGCGCAATCGCGTGAAACCGCCAAGGCCAGGGCCAAGGCCCCAGTGGCTGGCGCGGAAAGATGCACTGGCGCCTCGGCGGAGTTTCAGGCGGTCGCTGCGTCGTGGTTGAAAGCTCTGGAGAAGCAGATCTATGCAAGCCCAGGCCGAAGCCAAGCCCCGACTGTTGGACACATATCTGCCGCGGACGCATCACTGCATCTTCGGAGGTCATCGATGCAAGACCAGAGGAGCACGGCGGCATCGTCATCCTCCAGGCCAGGCCCAGTGCAACCTCGCAGAATTGGCAACACAGACTCTGACCTGGGCAGGGAGAAGACGTGTTGTGATTCTCTAAGAGGGCCACGCTGCTTTCGTGTGCTGTTAACAACTCGGCTTTGACTTTGAAGGCTGTCCTGAGCGATTCGCATGCCACCTGGGGCAACAGCAAGGACTGCAACCGCTCTCAGTGCTGAGCCGCATGAGGCATGGAAAGAGCATGATTTTTGGCCGTCTAAAGCAGTAGTGTCAGCCCCCACAGTGTCTTGCGGCTCTTATGTCACTGAACCCAGCGGCAGTGTCAACACCCGTGAACACCCTGTAAGTAGTATGATTAAGGACCCTCGGCCGAAAGAAACCTCGCGTGCTCGGCCAGGATGCGCAACGTCTCGAAGACCGACCTGACTGGCTTCGAGCGATCTTGGCACCATGGCGCGCAAACAAACATTGGTCCTAGCGCTGTCGAAGCAGCCGAACCCCATTATTGGGAGTAGAAATGAACATCAAATCCTGGCCGGCGGCAATCATGCTCGCGTGCTGCTTCGGTTTGCATCGGGCTTCGGAGGTTTGGTTGCGATCTCGCCGAGGCCACAAATCGGGCCCACGCGAAGACGCACGGCCACGCTATGGTGCTTCGCGCGGCCTGGCCTGAGAAGGTCAGCCCACGATGAAGAACTCGGAAGCCTGTCGCCAAAGAGTGGGCACAAAAGCTTCAGACTTTCACACAAGCCTTACCGAAGCTTTGCGAAGCGCATTCAGCTGAAGCCAAGGCTCATCCGACCGAGCCGCAGCTCACAGAGTCTCGGCACACACTTCTTGGGCGATTCGCAAGCTAAGTTGGTTAAGTTGATCTGGTGTCAAGATCTCTGGAGCGACGGCGAGCTCGAACCGTAGTTGCTGGATGTTTTTAGGGCTGTAAGGTGATGATGCTGCATGGCCTGTTCATTCATGTTTTGCGGCGAGGATTGGATGATCAGCGACTGTGGCAAAAAGTCCCTGCGCGTGTGCGCAAAGGTCAATGAGCGAGAGAACCCCGGATGCGCTCAGATACCTTTACAATTCTCGAATCAGCTTTTCATTATTTACTCTTCCACCTTTTGCATCAGGGCACCTTCGAGCTCTGCCGAAAACCCTTCGGCCCCGTTCGTGGCAATTCGTGGGGAAGATTTGCAGAGCCCAACTCCCTTGAAGCCAGTTCACAGCTGAGGACGTACAACTGGGAGAAGCATCTGATGATGCAGGACTACCTTTTGAGTCCACAAGCTTTCACCCATGTGCCCCGGACCGGGGAAGGCTAAGACTAATATGCCCCTGAGCCGGGTGCTAATCGATGTGGACATCAAGGAGTTCCTACGTCCCAGTTCTCGCGGCAACCATCACAAAAGCGAGCAAAGCCACGGGCCTTCAGCGACCGTCTCGCCAGGTACTCATGCTGGACGCAGACGCTGCGCTGATCCAGCCGCAGCTTAACACCTTACACCGAATCGCCGACATCTTGGACGCTTTGAAAGCTCTACTTGTCGTCCTAGGGATCCTGTGCTTCTTGTCATTGCAGAGATGCTCTGGGCAGTAGGTTGTGAACATAGTTCCTGTGCCTTCCGTGCAGAGACAGGGTCGGACATTGGGCTGCATTTCTGTTGGGGTGCGTACTTGGTGCTCTGGAGCTGCAGGACCGGAAGGGCAAAGATCTCTTCCTGACCAACGAGGTGCCGGAAAAGCGTGGTTGCTTTTGAAGCTTTTTGAGCTTGGGCAGGGCTTGCAGGCCTTCTGAGTTCCGCAGGACTGGTTGGACCAGAATGGCGAGGCGCGCATCAACGGCGGGTTGATGCTGGCGAAAAACACGCAGTTTACGCACCTTTGCATGCAGTCGCCCAGACGCCAGTGCCACACTCCCTGCATGCAAAGCCGGACGCTCTGCGGATCTTTGCCCCTCCAAGGCAGAACTTGTTCCAAGACACCTTCGATGCCCACGTGGCCGGGTACAAGCTGCTGAAGAAGGTCGGTGATGCCTTCCCGTAGCGAAGCTTGAGGCAAAGATGGCCTATCGCCTCTCTCTGCAGGGACTGAAATCGCTTGAAGCAGATCCCAGTGCTTGTGGGGTTTCTCTGTTTTGCTTGAAGCATCTTGAAGCCAGTATTATGTGAATGGCTATGAATACGAATGCAATTCCAGAGGCCCGCATCGGCACGCCCGTGATCCGGTGCACCAGACGCTTGGTGAATCCACATTTTCCGGTGGATGTCATGTTAAAGGCGGTGGTGAGCAAGCTTGTCAAGAGGTCCTCCCTTTACATGAGACCTGCATACGTGGCTGCTGTTCAATACTGTACGATAAAAAAATCAAGCCACGACCCGCACTGACAGGTTGCAGGAGCATTGTTGCCATTGTAGTTACCTCTACTTTGCGCTTACATTCCCGTTTAATTTCGGTGAATCTTATGTGCATTTCACGCAGTGCCTGCAGCTATTTGCGCTGACTGGCTCGTGGTTGGGACGTTTGTTGAGTTCATCTCTCCAGAAAGCGCTTGGTCCTGTGAGGCAACGAGCAGATCTGTCTCAATGACCTGTACTATGGCGACACTCAGCATTTCACTTCAAAGGTGGCCAGCTGGGAACCTTGAAGTCATTTTCTTTGGAATGTCCGAGGGCTCAAGACTAGGAGGGGCCAGCATCCAGACACATGCATCCGCTATCTCCTCGCTTTGACTTCAAGCGCGGCGAGTGCGACTAAATCAACACCTGGGCAAGACTTCCAGCGCATACCCTGAACCCTGAAGCCAAAGCCCCTATATGGTCTTGAATCCAAGACTTCCCACGCCATGTTTGCAGGTCATCATGGCCAGTGGGAAGAAATACAACCGCGGAGCCGAGAGAGGCCGCGTCGAAGTTCCTCGTATGCCTGAAACACAAAGGGGCTGTGGCTGTAGTCGTCGTCGTCGTACACCCCAAAAGAACCGCCATGCCTGCAGAGTAGACGTTGAAGAATTGGTTTTCGCCATGACCACTCCACGGTCAATAGGCCACTGCAAGGCTGGCCAAGCAAGCATCATGCTCAAAGTGAGTCAGTCTGGCACAGAATCAATCTGTGCGCCATCCTGAGCATTGCTGACGATAGAAGGCCTACAGGGTTCAGAACCATGGATCCTGTGTATTTGTTGGTTTTTTGAAAGGACGATGACGAAGCAAGGTCTCTAGAGCTCCCACCGGGCTGGTTTCGCACAGGTGGCGAGGCCCACATCACCGACGAGACCACCGAGATCATGCAGCTGAGCGATCAAACAAGATGCTTGACAGAGTGGAACTCTGCTTGATGCGACGCCTCCTCACAAGACTCTGCGACGTGACCCGGGATAGTTCCGCGCATGCTGCCGACAAGTTGACGCTGAGCTCCTTGAGGCATTGGATGGGCGGCGCAAAGGCCACAGCCGGCCAGGCGCTTTGCCGAGGCGGCCCGTGAACATTTCAGCTAAGTAGTACTATATTGTACCGTAATGAAGCTCGTAACTTAAATGTTGCGTGAGTGGTTATGACTCCTGGACTCAGTCACCTGGATTAGGCCATACTTACTTAGGCTACTGATCCTTCAGACTCCAGTGTTGACATTGATTGCAAAATTTTCGGCTGTGACGGGGGGAGACGTTCTGTTCATTGGCGACGCTTGTGCTGCAGCATGCCCCGTCACATCTCCAGACCAGAGGATTTCAAGCCACTGGAGATGGGAAGCTGCCCTGGGTTCCGTTGAATTTCAGTTACCATCAGCCATAAGCGGGACCTATAGTAAGTAATCCGGCACCCTCTAAGTAATACGGCGATACGAACAAGAGCCCAGTTCCTTGCCGCGGCAGGACAGCGGGACTTGACCTTCGAAGGGCCAGACGGATACGGCTGCAAAATGGAGCGCCGATGCCACTGTAGACACTTCCTTATTGTCAGACCCCGTTCAACGCTCAAGGCCTTGCGCAGTATATCCAAGGGCCTACTGTCGGGACATGCACAAAGTGGTCCGATAATCTCTATAAGCTCTAAGCGAAGCGTCGGCTGGTCACAAGCAACGAAAATCAAAGACAAGACAGCGGCACCTTCCTCTACCCCGCACTCCAGACGTAGCTCTACCTGATCATAGTAAGTCTTGAACCAATGCACGGCCTGACCCTAAGTTTTGGAGCACCTCATTTGCCAAGGATGCGACATCTTATCGCTTGATCGAGGCCACGGCCGTTGTTGCTGTCCTGGCTATCATTGGCGGTCAGCTACTCACGAAAGCCCGAGAGCCAAGAGCAAGATTTAATCCGTTCAACTTGAGAATGCAGTAGACAGAGCTATGCATCACATTTCGACCAAGTGGGGGCCTAGCGAAACTGCACCGGCAGAAATGTTCCAAGGCTAACATGCATGCATCCCGGATATTGGCTTAGCATCTGGCCAGAGTGCACAGCGTCTGGAGCAGTACAAGTCCCACCCAACTGAGGCGAAGTTTTCCCGGCTCAAGGCACTCCAATCCAAGCGCGCACAGAAACATGGTGCACAAAGCAGCCAGAAACGGCCTGGTGCTCAAGTAGCACAAAGCCCATTGTCCACACAGGCCGTGGCAGATCCGTAGGAGCAGATGAAGCTGGCGAACAATAGCGCCATCAACCCGACTAAGCCAGTAAGCCGATGCAGAAGTGATTTGAAACATCAGGTCAGATGCATAAAAACGAAAAACACAAAAAAGAATAACGATAAGCAAATAGCGGCCATGTAGAATGGCTGCTTCGCTGAACTTTGTGTCGTACAGAGCAGTTGTTCCAAGCATACCATGTCTCTTATCTTTCCTCGCTTGTGGACTTCGATTCCAGCCATGCGAGAGGGAAAAAAGTAAGCCGCCAAGCCACAGCCGAAGTAATTGACACGTGCGACAAGCAGACCGTCGACCCTTGACAACAAAGCAAGACAAGCCTTGTTCTGGCTTGTGGACTCTGACAAGTTTGTATGCCCCAGACACATTAAGCGAGAAAGCACACAACTGCTACTCACTGCCTGAGTTGGACAGAAGATGCTGAACACCCTCAAGCGTGGGATTCTCAGACCCTCTCCAGAATCCAACCAGCAGCAGTAGCTCCTGACCCGGAGCAGTTGCCAACTAGCCTGTCTCTTTCGCGCAAGTCTATCGCCAGCCTGAAATTGCCGGTCAGCTGCCCGCTGCGGCCAACTTTTTGCCAAGGGCGGAGAGAGAGAGTGAGAGAGAGAGAGAGAGAGATCTGGATTCCACACTCATAGGAAAGGGATGCAAGGGTATGCCATGTGAGAGGGCTGCCAGTGCGATGTTATTTCAGTGTGGCTGCGTTGAGTGTTGTCGACAGCCATCAACATACATGCAGTGTCCTTGCCAGCGCACGCGCTCGGTGCAAGCCTGCTGTCGCAGTCGACTCGTCCACGAGCCTTAACAAGTAAAATTTACCAATAGGTTTCAGTCCGGTGGGGGCTCTAGCGTCTCTGGAGCTTGGGCTCTAAGGGTTTCAAATTGGGTCATGGCTTGGTTAGGGTCGTAACATATGGGCTACAAGTCAACCAAATGAATCAAACATGAACTGATGTCCCGGCAAGTAGCCTGACACCAAACCCCGAGGTACCCCACCGGCCTTGACCTCCAGTGAATCCACGAAAGCCACGGGGCTGCCCTTTCGGGGTGCCGGAATCTGACAAAAGCACGGTGTCTGGTGTTTTAATTAGGCAGTAGTTGTGGGAAAGGTAACAGTTTGCGCGTTGGAGTGTGGGGTCGGGGCCATACCATTTGGCCCCCCACCCCACCCACAACGCATGGTTCCCAACCAGTTCAGATGTCTAAGAATTTCCTGGGTCCCAGCTTCAAGGTTAAAACCCCTCAACGAAGGTATGGAGAAGATGAGACAAGGGGCCTCACAGAGAACAATGCGCATGTAGCTCATCGCCGAATCAACTTGTTGAATGGACTTGCTTCGTATCATCTTGGAAGACGCAAGATGTTAAGTGTCATGAAGCCACACGAAGACAATGTGTCTTGCCCACCATGATTCTGCTCTGCCAGTACTGCTGAATGTCCTCTCCTTAGTTGTCTTCGCTCTCTGCCTCCTCCTCCTCCTCCTCCTCCTCCCATTCCCAGTCCCACTGCCACGTGGTCCTATACTACGTTACGACACTGACACCATTACAGCAATGGCAACATGACGGTACAAACGGTTTATCTTCAGTCTGAGTGCCCTACAATTACCTGAGGCCCCCAGTCCGGAACTCTACATCCTAGAAACCTTACTTAAAGGATCAAAGGATCATGGGACTTAGTCACTAGGGTTATAATTAGGGTAACTCTACTTATAACTACTTATAACCCCAATTAGGGACTTATAACCTTACCTTACTTACTAAGTCCCATGATCCTCCAAGTAGACCCTCAACCCTGATTCCGCGAATCCCTAGCCAAACACGCTCAACCCTTAACTTCGTCTAGAACTAAAACCGTGTAGAACCTTGGAGGAATCTTCAGAGAAACCCCAGGAGGGAGGCCCGAAAGGGACCCTGAGTTTCGAGCTCTTTTGGGGACCTTAATAATTAGAAGAGGGTTTTGGGATACATTCTACTATAAGTATAATAAGGAGCCCCTGCACCTATTTGTCACAACCCCCTAATCACTACACACCCTGGAGTACATATGCCCCTTAAACCCTGAACCCCAAACCCTAAATCCCTAAACCCTAAAGCCCTAGACCCCCGAAGCCTTAAACCCTAAACCCCAAACCCCAACCCGAAGCCTTAAAAATCCCCAAAACTGCACCTTGAGCCATGGCCCGAGCTTTGAAGGAGGGCTCGGAGCCCAAAGCCTCGGTAAGCGTCTGAAGCTCAAGAGAGGACTTAGGGTTTAGGGGTTTAGGGTTTAGGATTTAGGGTTTAGGGTTTTAGGGTTTAGGATTTAGGGTTTTTAGGGTTTTGGGCTTAGGAGGGTTTAGGAGTATTATAGCCGTAACGCTCGCCCAAAAGCCTTAAAAGACATGGTCTTTTAGCCCAAAATTAAAAGCCTTAAAATATGAGTCCTCAGAGCCTGAGGGTAAGGGTGACCATAAGGGTGTAAAGACCTACCATAAGGGCTTGGAGCCTAGAGTTCATGAGAGGAGTATGAGGGTTGCCATAAGGGTGTAGGGATCATCAGAGGCGTAGCAGAAGGGCGACCGTAAGGTTTTGAGGCCTGGGCCTCATGAGAGGAGCTAGTAAAGTTAGCATGAGGGTTTCCATCATAAGAGGAGTATTATGAGGGTGACCATAAGGCCTACGGTTTGAAGATTATGAGAGGAGCATTGAAAGGGTGGCCATAAGCCCAAGGGTCCAAAGGATCCAATAATTGGGTACTCAAGTTTAGGATAATAGTTAATAGTTCTGCGAGTATTACAAGGGTGACCATGAGGCTTTGAAGTCCAGGGTTCATGAAAGGAGTTAGTAAAGGTAGCATGAGGGCTACCATCATAAGGGGAGTATTATAAGGGTGACCATAAGGCTCACGTTACACTTTGGGAGTCATGAGAGGAGTATAAGGGCTACCATCAAGGTCTGGATGAGAGGAGTTAGATTATGTAAGGGCTAGATCATCAGGGATTGGAGTTTAGGGTGCAGGAGAGTAGTTAACATAAGCGCGCAGGGCCAACCTTGCAGTTCTGGGTTGTGTTGTTCAGAAGTCGATGAAGGGCCTACTGCACGGTTTGGGTAGTGAGCTTGGGGTTAGCGGTTAAGCTTTAGGGCTAGGGTTTAGGATGCACGGTTTAAGGCTTAAAGGGGTGTCCAGTGCTTACTTAAGGTTTAGGGTTGCGGGTGCAGCTCCATCATCGTCCTCGTCATCATCCTTGGAACAATCTTTTCAGGGTTACTAGGGCTCTTCACTCTACACAGCAGACCCGAAATCAACAATAACACACTCAAACTGAAATATTTCATAATCACCATTAGGCTTAAATAAAGCCTACGCCTACACCGGACAACCTGAACAACATAAACCTTCACAACAAACTCCTAACATCAATTTCGAGCGTCCGGAGCTTCCCCTTCCTGCACGACCTAGCAGGGAAGACTGTTCGGATCTTAAAATCAGGGGCCTCGTCCCATACTTCAAAAAGTTAAATATCCCAACTTGTCTGATCTCAAGGTTCTGAAGACTTCCTAAGACTTTGTGTGAGGCATTCGGTGTCCGGATTGGTCTGAAACGGTTGTAATGCCTGGACTTCAAAGTTTCTCCGGGTTTAGGGCTGGGGCCCTAAACCCCTCAAATCTCAACCCGAAGTTCTCTAAACTGGAAACCCTTTGTTGGGACAGCTGCGGATGGGAAGTTTACCTTTGCCAAAGCCAATACCCCTCTAAGCCTTCCCGCCTAAAACCCAAACCCTCAAGCTTGAGTCTATGAAGCCCAGATTCACTGCGTTCAACCGAGCAACGGGTCACATCATCGTCACCATCAACAAACACGAATACTCCTCACACGACTGCGACAGCTCCTCCAACCCCTAATCCACACAGTCCTAAGCAGGCCGAAAAGGCGGGAAATCATCAGGCTCATGAAACCCTGTAGACCTTGTAAAACGCCATAAGCCATAAACATGAAGACTCCACGGACCACCCATATTGTCATATTGCCCGTCGTCCAAAACTTTATAACACTCTGCAACACTTTCCCCCTAAAGCATCGCTAGGGCACCTCTTCTCCTCCAACTCGAGGTGCCCAGGTGTTTTTCTCCTGATTAGAGTCTCGGAGTCTTTACACAGCCTTTAATCCACTGAAGCTTCCGGTTTAGGGATGTTTAGGGCTTAGTGTTGAGGGTGTAGGGGTTTAGCGTTGAGGGGCTTAGGGTTTTGGATCCTAAAACCCATATCCTCAACCTAATTACGAGCCCTTCAGGAACACGAAACACTCGCCCTAAGGCTTCATGTGCCGATAAAGTATATGCCTGGGCTTCGCCAAGACCTAAGTATCAACTATAATTATAGACACTAAACATCCCTAAACCCTAAGCACCCTAGTACTAAATCCTAACCACCCCTACCCTAAATCCTAAACCTACATGCCGCCCTGGGGAGGTCTTTGAACTCTAAGCATTCTACGTCCGTTGCGCAGGAAGCTGAGAGCATTGACAAATCTTTAGCGAACGGATTAGGATTTTAGGTTGAGGTTTTAGGGGAACCATCTGCAGAGCTTTGGATTTAGGATTTCGGAGTTTAGGCAGTTTAGGCTTAGCGGATGAGGGTTCACTTCAGCATCTGCCGACATTAGGGCCTTCAGTATCAGCAAAAAGGCCGCCGCAAAGTTCAACGTGCAATGCCGAGTTTGCATCGCAGGAACCAGCAAGACCGGACACAGGTGAGGGCGGGGGGCGGGAATCAGAGTGACAACACACCCTAAGACTCCATGTACCCATATAGTAGGTACTTAGGCCTTAAAGGGACCATTATATGGCCTTGAAGTACCTACTATATGGGTACATGGAGCCTTTGGGAACACAAGAACTGCAAGCAATGTACATGTGGTGGTCACCACTGCTCTAGTAAGCTGAGCGAAGGCAAAGCAAGCGGGGCCAAACACCGGCTTGATGTCATGCGGCATCTGCCTGGCTTATGATAGCCGGGTTTGCCGGCAGAAAAAGCATGCAGGTCAAAGTTCCGAAAGCCCATCTGTGAATATATTGAGACCGTCCAAACCAGAGGAAGATGAAACTAGACTGCTACGGCATACCGCATTGCGGTTTCCCCCATTAATCATTAGAATCCCTGTATAGACCCTGAGCGTTAAACCTCAAACCCTGAAGCCAGAGGCATGTAGCTGTGTCCCGCTCCTGTCCGCTAGGAGCCCATTGTGTCGGCTGTTGGCTGGGCACGGGAACAACCTTCGATTTCCTGCAAGCGGAAGGGTTGCTAAAAGGTTACTATCACACGCCAAGAACTTAAAACATGGCTTAGAGAGTATAAAGTCACTCAACAAGTGGATGGAACGAGGTTCACCGCCTATGTTCAGGATTCCTAAAACCTGAATAACACTCTCTGCGGAAAAACTGGAGCCGTGCCCACAAAGCCTGTGCTTTGGTTAAGCTGCTGGAGAGGAATGAGGGAGCGAGAGAGAGGTGCAGAGAGCGAGAGTGAGGAAGAGTGTGCGACGGAGATGGAAGAGCGAGCGAGAGCGTGCGAGAGAGGGAGAAAGGGAGAGGCAGAGGCAAAGTGAGATAAAGAGAGAGAGAAAGAAACCACAAAACATAATCGTAAACTCCAAACCTTAGCACCAAGACTCTATTAACAATATGAACAACCCTGAAGCCCAAGCACAAAGTCCCCAAAAGAGCCACTTGAACCGTAAACACAAATCCGCAAGAGAGCCAGCCTGCACTGCCAGTGGCCTCGGAAATAGTAGGCGACTGTCCCAATGATCATGACCTTGGTCTGCGCCGTAAGGCGCTCGTACCCATTTCAGCATGAAGCCACAACAAGGGACCAAGGGGACCCCTGGGTTTCTAGATACTGACCTTGCCCCAAAAACTTGAACCCTGAACCCTAAGATCTAAACCCGAAAACTCCGAAACCCAATGCCCTAAACAGCATACACCCACAGGGCCCGACAGAGCTTGTAACGGCCCTTCTCCGCTTCTAAAACCCGCAAGGCCCCCATCGTGGAAAGATGCTAACTGCCCTCATCCCTAAACCCTTCTAAACTTCGTGAACCCTAGAACCTAAGCCCGCAACCCTGGTGACTTGAAGGGGTTCCTCATATACAGCAGATCCAAGGGCATTAAGCAAAGACGGCCAGCCGACACCCTGCACCCCGAGAGGAATCATAGATGGAGGCCCAGGTGAATGTGCTTCAGCTGGTTTCTTGCAACTGCTGGTGAGATGTTCATGGTTCTGACATCTATCGGCATGAGAGTTCAGGAACCCAACAAAGCCGAGTTTGCAAATTCCACATAAGCAAGCTTTTGTTGGGTTGCTCAAGAATGATGGGAGGCCAAAACGGTGGTTTAAGATTCTTGGGGTAGGGATTCTTTAATATGAACCCCATTATGGGAACCCTAACCCATACTAAACCACCATAGGCTAAAAACCCTTTTGGCCTCCTATGAAAGGAACGATTTAAAGCTTAAGGTCCCTAGGGACTGTGTTGAGCACCCGAAATCAACAGCCACATGTTTGAACCATCCTGAACCGGAACCCTTAACCCGCGGCCAACCCAAACAGCAGACCTTCATACATAAACACTGAGACCTAAAACATTACATCACTATATGTACACCAGAGACATTAACAACATGTACATACACACATATATATATATACATATATATATATATATACAGAGAGAGAGAGAGAGATACTATATTGAAACAAGAGACCCTAGACTTGAGCAGTAAACTCCAAGCCCTAAAGAGACCAAGGAGCTGCCAAAAGTGCCGACAGGCAGGAGCCAAGCCATGTGGGAAGCCTCAGAGCGGTTTAGGGTCTTGGGTTTAAGGACGCAGAGAAAATGACGTAAACGCAGCAACACTCGGATTGAATGAGGGCAGCTCTCTAAATCCAAGCAAGTCCCTTTGTAGGTCCCCGAAATATTTCGACACCCTTATAAACAGGACCCTAATGGGGACCCTAATTTGGAGAACTGCCAATTCAATGAACCAGACACCAGGTTTGAGTCTCGAAGCGGACTTTGCAAGGGTAGGCGAGAACTTGGCCCACAAAGTTTAGGGTCCAGGGGTCCCTAAATTTTAGGGTTTATAGGGTTTAGGCCCCAATCCTGAATCCAGCCCAGGCACGGATGGAAAGGACCTTCATAATGAACTTCAATGACCTTTCATTTCCGCAAATTCAACATCGCGGCGACATATTAGGAATCCGCACCGGCCAAGACTTGGGGAGTCAAGAGGGTTTCTGGAGACCGAAGATGCTCACATATTCATACCAGGGATCGAAGAGACCTCCATCGCGCAAGTCTGTAATGACTGCAAAGCCAACCTGCTACCACCATACCCTCATCGTCATCACCATCAACTTCTTCCGTCGCAGTGAGAAGGTCTCTCGACTAGCGTGCGCAACAGTGTGACTGGATTAAAAGCACACCGGCCGATTGCACGGCTTAGCACTGATGCTCATAAGAGTAGGCCGCTCGCTTATGAAGCAGGATCCGCTGTACAGGAAAATACTGGTAGCCAGAATGTAAATGAAATGCACAAGTGAGCTGATATCCGCATCAGCCAGAGCTCGCCGCTCTGGTAAAGTACCATTTGATGCCAGAACGAGTTCCAGCATTGCAGGCAGACGACATCGGAGGTGCGTTCATTCGTCCATTGTATCCAGATCGATGACCTGTGGCCGGATGTTGTTGTGGCACTTGTTTCGTCCGATTTTGTTCCCGCTTTGATAATACCTCTGATTCTGCTGTCGGATCAGAAGTTCGATCTGGTACTGAAGCTTGTCGTGTCGCTGCTGCAGTATGTGATGGTCCTGTACGAGCTGATGCAGAAGGACCTCTTGGAGGTACATCTGGCTGGCCACCCATTCTTCGCCGTGAAGATCGATGTATCGAAGCCACACTCTGGCCATGGGAGCTAGATGAGGCCTTGAGATCTGAGGCAGAGTGCGAAGCTGCGGTGATACAAGGCTCAACAGGAGGGGCACTTCCAGGGAGCGTGCCGCTACGTGTGCTAACAAGGCTGTCGTTGACAATAACAACAATGTACATGGTTCGTCCAATCGCTTGCAAGCATTGTGACTCTTGCACAGTGTTTTTCCGATCATCATCAAGAATCGTGAAGCCGTCAGGCGTGGGCATCGCCACCGTGTAGTGGCCTGATGTGGGCAAGTTGCCATGGTGACAAATGAGTGCCACAACACGGTAGGGCAGCCACTTTATGTCAAGCGTCTGCTTGTCGACAAAAAGCGGCACCTGCAGTGTGCTGACTACCCGATAACATGCCTGGGTTTTGGAGACATGACTGCCCTCGTACCTGAAGCGTGGAAGCTGCAAGAAAAGCCAAGGCATGGGATGCACCATAGCCTGGCAGTGTTCTTGAGCTGACCAGAAGTTGATTAAATCCTGTATGTCGGGGCTATGCCTAGGGGGGGCAACTAAACCAATGCATTTGGAGAGTGGTGTGCCCACCGTGATATGCACGTGGCCTGCCTCTGTTTGCCTTCGTCCCTGCCATACCCCATCGAGGGACCTAGGCAGGAGTTGCCAGTGGAGAAAGTCGATAAACTCGCTAACATCATGCTGGCTCTCAGGGCCACACCACCCCAAGGCACAGAACCCCAGGAGTTTAAAGACTCCACCCCGCTGTTGACCTTGGAATCTTTGAAAGCTTTGGTGCATGTGAGCAGCGTAGCTAGTGCATTGCACCGCGACGTCAAGCGCGTACAGAAACGCAATTGCATAGCAGTGGTTGCCAGGATTGTGGAGACTAAAATTGGGTATATTACGGCTTAGGGTGAGGCCCGGGCTGCAAAAGTCGAGCTCAGCTGTTGCCATCATCGTCCGTACACCAGCTGTGCTAGCTGTTCCGCTAGAGGGGACCTCTTGAGGGTCCCGCGTTTGAGGCTCACTCCCACCAGTTGCCAAGTGGCACTGCCCAACAGTGTGCACATTGTCTCGTGCATCTCGTTGGCACGTTCTCCCCTCAAGGAGATTTGCAGAATGAACGTGGCCTGGGGTTTGGGACCAGTCTGTGCTTCGAGAACCTTCAGGGATTGGGTGCTGTTGAACTGTTGAACAATCTCGCCCTTCATGTTCTCCAGCAGGAAGGTGTACTGTCTCACTATCTCCTGATGGCTCATGCACGTGCGGGAGGTGTCCTGCACAAGTTTCCGAGTCTTGTGGCAGAATTTCAAGAAGGTCCAATCCCCTTTGTCGTTCATCCAACCCGCCGCCTGGAGCTTCCCCTGGCCTTCGCTCGTGGATACCATCTTCTGAATCCGGGCTAAGTTTTCCCGAATCAAGCAAGCCATGAGTAGCGTTCGCAGCGGGGACGTGATCTGTGGGTCGCCGCTGCTGTCCTGTGTCTTCTGATGAAACTGCTGAGAGATCGAATGCAAGTTGGGAATGATGCTGGCGTAATCCTGTCTGACAAACAGGATGAACACCTTGTCCACTCGCTGAGCTGCTAACATGTCCTCGTGTTGCAACATCAGTTTGATGATTGCCCTCAGGTTGGGATCCATGGCATTCAGCAGGGGCTGTGACTGATGGTGCTTCGGTCCTCGTTGCCCTCGGGCTGCAAACGGATGTTGCCCTCGTCGCTGTAGCTGGGTGTTGCCATTGGGAACGAAGAGAGGATTGGGTTCCGGGCGCGGGCGCTTTGGGGGCTGATTGGCCTCCTCCAGATTGGGAAGACCCTCCGGATCCAGCTCCACTTCCTGCTTGGTTTCCTGCTTGGCCTTTGCCAGCAGCGAAGGATCGCAGAAGGCGAAGATGCTGGCCTCCGGATTCACCTCTGTCGCCTCGAGCAGTGACCTGAGACCATTGGTAGCGGAGCCGTGCAGCACACACTTGATAAAGAATGACACACTGCTGGGAATGTCGACCCGGGGCTCCTACATTGCCTTTGCACCAGGGGCAAGTGCGTCCACGGACCAGCTGGCTTTTGAAGCTATGGCACAGTTCAAGGGTGCTTTTGTGCAGACCTGGGGTTTCAGTGTCATGAATCTGCATATGCTGTTTCATATGAGTGAAGCTGGCAACCCACATGTGGCAAATGCTGCAATGCGACCTGAGCTCGACACGTAGAGCAGAGTCCCGTAGGAGGCTTTCCCAGTCATGCTGTTTGCTGCGAAAGAGCTGACGATCTACAAGAGGCACATTCTGTTTTATACCATGATCCGCATCTGTCGGCTCAGAGGCCGTCGGAAGACCCAGGTCCGTGACCTGGGAGTCGCGGCAAGAGTCTGGACATTTACTCTGGCTTTCTCCTCCGAGCTTCGTGCAAGCTCCACTTTCTATGTGTTGCTTGAGATTTTGCCAGCGGTAAAAGGACCTGAGGCAAAGCTGGCATCTCGGGAGACCACCACAGGCATGAAGCCGGGGGACAAACTTGGTGGGCTCACAAGCTGCACGTGGAGGAAGAATGCCGTGGCTGACCTGACAATGTATGCGCATTGCATTCTCCGTCAGGAAGAATGCATCACACTCCGGACACGGGATTTGCGGGACTTCGGAGTCCGACACGTTGGCATCATGTTGCTCCTGCTGTTGCACCTGATGCTGGAGCTGGGCCTCCAGGTGACACAAATGATCAAGGATACCTGGCTGTGTTGTGATGTCAGGTGACATTACTGCCTTCCGCTGCAGATTTTCTCGAAAGCTGGTCAGGGCTTTGAGGAGCATTCGGCCTGGCATGTCCATCGCGGCTTGCTGCCATATGGCTGTATTGGGGAGATGTGTTAGATGAGCCGGCTGCCTCTGGATTGCCCGAAGATGTCGGGTGCAGGCCTTGGTGAGCTTGTCCAGACCATGTCCCGTGACACCTACAGCCGGCAGAGAATAAAGCATGCTGGTGGAGACACAGGCTCGCCACAATCTTTCACGGTGTCGCGTGCTAAGGTGGTGGTGGCCATTTAAGGGCTTCCGGATAGCTTGATACTTGGCCTGTCCAGCCTGCAAACGATGGCGGAGGTTTCTGTCAAGGCGGTGATGATACGTGACCTTTGTACCGAGATACTCATGCTCATCTTTGATGGGGATGAGTTCCTCTCGCCCGCAGACAGTGATGACAAGGTGTCTGACTCCGTTCTTAAGGCGAGTGTGCTCGTACATAATTGCCTTGGCCTCTTTGCCTTCAAGTCGCAATAAAATCGCAGTTTTACGATAGTTTATGGACATTTTAAAGGATACCAAGGTTTCCAAGACTACTACCAGCTGTGCAAGTGCATTCTGCCAGTCCTGACGATTCCGGATAAGCCAATGACACCAATGATCATCCGCAAATAACACGAGGGTTTGTTGAAGCCAATGTGGCCCAAGCTTGTTCCGCAGTGCATGCATGAGGGCTACAGTATAGAAACTCCAGAGGAAGGGAGCTATGCAGCAACCCTGCTTTAGTCCATTAGTCGTGGTTTGCCCTTTGGTGCTATCCCCGGCACGAAAAACATACTGGGCATCAAGATGCAATTGTTGGATGATCTGAATTGTGTCCGGATCCACCCCATGCTCGGCCAATGTGCCGTAGACAATGGGTCTGCTGGTGAGGTCATAGGCTTTCGACAGATCTAAGGAAAGACTCAAGGCTCCGATGCAGGCCAGTTTCCTGTTACCTTCATACTGTTGGAATCGATCAACACAGTTGGTTCGTAGCAAGACACGTGCTTCCTCAAAATGCATATGTACCCTGAGAATTGCATCGAAGGTGCCACGCTGGCGCGCGTAGGCATACTGAGGAAGATCTTTGACTAGAGGGAGAAGTACATCCAACAGATTTTGCCTAAGGACCCCGGCAATGACCTTCGCACTGGGGCACTGCAGCCCAATGGGTCGCATGTTTTCCACAGCTGTGGGTGGTTTGGTGGGTTTAGGGATGAGAGTGATGAATGCATCATGTAGCTTGTCCTGAAGGCATTCACTGCTGCCCGCCTTGAAGTGCTGTTGGAAGGCTTCGTTCAGGACAGGTGCGATTGTCCCTGCACAGCACTTCCAAAGGGCGGCAGGAGCAACACCCTGTGGCACAGCCTTGAAGAAACCAAGCTTCTGGAGCTCCACCTGAACCTCCTGATGTGTGTGAGGCCAATCCTTTTGGAGAACCATGATGCTGTCTACGTCTGGTATGGTGCAGAAGGTGTCCTTGGCATAAGCCAGCATGGCTTGAAGGGAAGCCTCTTTCCCGAGAGGCTGACCTTGCGGGTCACGCAGACGGGAGATGATTTTGCAGCTTCTGGGAGCCAGGCTTCGCACAATTTTGTGAAGCACACGCTGGTCCCCCTTGGCTGCAGCGGACTCAGCTTCAGCGAGCTTGTCCAACAGGGACTGTCGCTTGAGTTGCCGACTTTGCTCTCGAAGCAGCTTGGAGGCCTTGGCAAAGGCGCAGGCTTCCCTCCATTTAAGGAAGACAGAGTGCGGCACGGTAATGCGGGGCGCCTTGAGCACCCGATACAGTTGCCAGGTGTGCTTGGCTGAGGCACGGAAGACACCCTGGGCACTGATTCGATTATCTTGCACACTTCTGGGCGGGAAGTGTTGCACAGCTGCATCAAGTAGAATCTGATTGATATTGTTGCGGACTAGCAGCAGGTCATGTGAGGAGCCCGCAAGGGTCGCGAGCCTATCCCCAACGTCACACTGTAGGGCCTGGGCTGCTGCACTGTTGGAGTGCAATGCAATCAACAGGTCATCCTTTGCAAAGGCTGCTGGAGTCGGTTGACCCTCCGGCGGCCGTCGACAGAACGGCACAACTGGGATGATGGCCTCCACAGGCCAATGTCCCGCGAGACTGTAGGCTTTGACGGGGAAAAGATGGTTGGGCTTGGCATATCTGGCCTGGCCTTTGGCATCAGCAAGTTTAGTAACTACATAGTCAATTCTTGTGCGACTCGAAGATGATTCGTAAGTATGACCCGGATTTGCATGCCAGCTGTTCAGCACACACAGGTCACACGTCTCAAGAAGACGATGCAGTTGCTTATCCCCCTTCTGGCCTTCGGTAAGGTGTGACGCCCCAACATGGGGTCTGCAAGCAGCCAGCTGCGAATTGAAGTCTCCTCCAAGTACAAGCGGGTTTCTCTGAGGTAGGTGATTGACAAGGGCAGAGAGTTTGCCCCAAATATCGGCTCTGTATTTCTGGTTGAGATCGGGCGTAAGGTTGGGACGATGTACATGTTGATAGAGGCCAATAATGTCCACATTGAGCTGACTCTTTTTGTGCAGGGCTCGAGCATGCAACAAGCGACCCGGATATATCTCATTGATCGAAGGATCACTGAAGACATCCTGGCGTAGCATGATGAGTATGCCTCCATATCTATCCACTGCTAAGTTCGAATCATAGCCGGAGGAATGAGTGCAAAGCCATTTGCCACTCCTAAAGTCGCTATTTGATTGCCAATGAGTTTCTTGCAAGATGACAGCATCAAAGGTGGCTTCTGAATCCAACCAAGCAACTAGTTCCTGAAAAGCAGGGCCCGAGAGGCCTCCCGTGTTCCAGCTAAAGACTCTTATGGTGGGATGTCGGGTGCATCCTGGAATTCGCCTACGGGAATGCTTAAGGAGCGGGGAGGGGTCCACATGCGCTAGGGCATTAAGGGAGACAGAGGTGTGCCACTGTCCCCGGTAGAAGGTCCCGCCTTCCAAGGAACGGGCTGCACGGTTCCTGGCACGACGATATGCTCTTTTGGTGGCTTCAGGGAGTCGGGATCCTATGTTGTGGCCTTCTCTTGGCGCTGTGCCGTGTCGCTTCCCCCACTCCGAAGAGTGAGGTCCCCCACCTACCACGGCATTAGGTGGAACCCTCGCTCCAGCTGCAGATGAAAGCTGAGTCAGGCTGATGATTGCTAATCTGCAGCCAGCGGACTTGGGACCGCTGCAGCCATTACCTGACAGTGAGTTTCGTTCATGGTGCTTTGGGGGCTTACGGGGATTATTAGGATTATGGCCTTGGTGGCACTTCCGCTGCGGAGCGGGCTTCATGTCAGCACTTGGTGCACAGGCCGCGTTCCATGCAGAACGCCTGGGGCATGTGGGGCCAGGGTTCTGAGGTTGCAGAGGGTTAGTAGGGTGATGGGACTTAAACAGTCTGGGTTTCCTACGGGAGCAATCGTGACCACACAGGGGCATATAAGGACTAGACCCCCAAAAGGGATGTGGTGGGATGAGGCGCAGGTGCCTTCGGAATCTTCTGGCTCGTAGGAGTGGTGCCCGGTATGGAGCAAGTGTGCCTTGCCAGGGAAGTTCATTCATCTCTGGGTGCATGTCCTTCCTCAGCATCAAAAGCCTTCCAGTCCAGCAGACGAGATCCAGTGAGGATGCGTTCGGCCATGTGCTTGGTAGCCATCCAATCACATGTTGCCAGGTGCCTCCTCGTCCAGCCGACGCGTGCTCCCAGGGTACGGTTGGTAGCTCCAGGCATGGTGGCCAAAAGCTCCCGACGGTGCAGGTTGACCAGAAGATCCTTGGCCCTTTCCAGAGGAGGTCCTTGTAGCACCAAGGACACAACACTTGGGACTTCCGTCGAGTCAGAAGAGTCCTCGCTGGGGTCCTCGATGTCGTCGGAGTCCACATCCATCCGCAAAGGTGAAGGGTTTCTGCCATGGATCCTGAAGGCCGGTCCCACAGTTTGTGGTTGGGGCGGAGGTGGCCCCCTCGGTGCATCTGGTGCTTCGGGCTGCAGTCGTCGACGGCGAGCTCGATGCCCACGATCAACGTCATCATCAGCAGCGCCCATATCCTCGATCGGGTCGCCCGCGGTACCATCCAGCTGTGCAGCTGGCTTCCGCATCTGCACTCCATGAGGGCCCATCCAAAGGCAAAGCCCAAACACCACCACAACACCCCGAAACAAAGCCCCGAACCAGAGCCCTCTACGGGGCACCACTCACAGTCTCGGGCCGTGGAGCTTCATCACCATCAACATCACCATCATCATCACCATCATCATCATCGCCATCATCACCATCATTGGCATCATCGCTGTCATACTCCGCTGCCGTATCAACTTCAACACCGGCATCAGCAGAACCAGCAGAATCGTCACAGCCACGGTCATCCTCACAATCATTCTGAGCAACGCCATCGCCGCGGTCCAGACCGCCAGCAGCATCACTATCGTCGCGACATGAAACGTGGAATGCGGAGGGAGAGAGAGAGAGACAGAGAGAGAGAGAGAGAGAGAGAGAGACAGAGAGAGAGAGAGAGAGAGATAAAGAGAAGGAGAAAGAGACTGAAAGAGAGAGAGAGAGAGAGAGACGGAGAGATATATAGAGAGAGAGAGAGAGAGAGAGAGAGAGAGAGAGCGAGATGTAGTTGAGAGAGAGAAAGAGAGAGAGAGAGAGAGAGAGAGAGAGAGAGAGAGAGAAAAAGAGAGTGAGAGAGAGAGAGAGATGAAGAGGAAGAAGAAGAGGAAGAGCAAGAGGAAGCAGGAAAGAGAGAGAGAGTGAAAGAGAGACAGAGAGCTAGCGATCGAGCGAACGAAACAGAGATTCTGAGTGAGAGAGGGAAAGCAACACAAAACAGAGTTTAATCAAGTTCAACAGCCAGTCAGATCCGCACTCAACAGAACACATGGAGCATGCTGACATGCTTTGCATACCACAACAAAAACATATCAAGTGAGAAATCCTCCTCAACATGTGAAGTACTGAGCCCCAAGACACACCGGAAGCATTTGAGAGCGGCTAGACCTGCTTTCCGTAGAGCAAGACAACCTAAACCCTAAGAGCTTCACACCAACCTGTAACCTGTGGCCGTGGCACCAGTCGAGTTCGATTGACGCCGCTTCCGTCGGATGATGGGTTGGCAGACTGCCAGCTAGACCAGTCCTGCCGTTGGGGATGTGAGCTTTAGGGTCTCAGCTAAGGTTTTGCAAATTATAACTTATGCTTCTTCATGTAACCCAGATTGGTTTATCTTCCCAAACTTACATGTCCGTCCAACTATATCTGGCTGTTCACAATCGCCACAAACATTACACACAAAACATGTGCCGTTGCATATATCTCGTGTTGTCGAAACATGTTACATTACATGACTTCGAGGTTGCATACAATGAAGAGGAGCCCTCATAGACCCGTCTATGGAACATTCAAAGAGAAACCCCATTCTAATGACTAAGGCCCCTTTATCAAGCCCTTATACATACATATATATATATATATATATATATATATACACCTAAACACTACACCTTAAACAATAAACCCTGAAACCCTAAATCAACACTAGCCCCTTTATTTAGTACATCCTGCCAGCTGCCAGGATCCACGCCGTCATCGCCAGGATTCTCGCCAGGCTGTCCTGCGAGAACTTCGGACTTTAGGGACTAGCATTTAGGGGGTTGAAGGTTCCGATCTTTCCGGAAAACCTATATGTTTATGGTCTTGGGAGAATCCTTGCACTGGCATCTAACTATACGAGATCTATGTTTAGAGGTTCGGCTAGGTTTTCAAGGTCATTTTAGGCCTTATAGTCCCTATACGGCTTCGGGTTATAGGGCTTAGGATAGACGGGTTAAGGTCTATGGTCGGTGTTTGGGGCGCAGGGTCTAGAGTTTGGGCTCTACAGTTTTGACGGTGAGCCACCCAAGACCCTAAGACCCTAAGCCTTAAACCGCCCCATATAAATCCTGTGAATGCTGCGCTTGCCGGCCTCCGTCGGAGTCCTCCGAGCCACGGTCGCCGGGCCCATCAGGGCTCACCCAAATAGGCTGCCTTGAATTGAAGAGGCTGAGGCTCTAATGTAGGGGAGCTCATAAACAGAACAAGGTTTTGGTGCAAAACAGTGTATATTTGCGTAAGAAACCCTACCGAAACAAAGGGGCATTAAGAATATAGGGTTTAAGGTTGAAGTTGGTCTGGGGTTTGGGGCATAGGGCGTGGGGTTTTGGCATTGTTCGGGGTTTTAGCTTTCTCGGCCTTTGTTGGGGGGTTTAGAGGGTTTAGGGTTTTGGGCTTTCGGGCATGTGTAAGACTGAATCAAAGGGCTTCGCCACATTTGTACAGGTGTGTGTGTGTGTGTGTGTGTGTGTGTGTGTGTGTCTGTGTCTCTGTGTGGGTGTGTGTGTGGGTGTGTGTGTGTGTGTGGGTGTGTGTGTGTGGGTGTGTGTGTGTGTGTGTGGGTGTGTGTGTGTGTGTGTGTGTGTGTGTGTGTGTGTGTGTGTGTGTGTGTGTGTGTGTGTGTGTGTGTGTGTGTGTGTGTGTGTGTGTGTGTGTGTGTGTGTGTGTGTGTGTGTGTGTGTGTGTGTGTGTGGGTGGGCGGGCGGGCGGGCGGGCGGGCGGGCGGGCGGGCGGGCGGGCGGGGGGTGGGTGGGTGGGTGGGTGGGGGGGGGGGCGGGTGTGTTTGGGCATGCATGCATGTATGTATGTATGTCTGTATGTATGTATGGATGTATGCATGTATGATGTCTCTATGTGCCTATGTATCTATGTACGTATGTATATGTACCAGTATGCGCATGTGTTTCTTGGGTATAGGTATGTACGTTGTATGCATGCATGTATGTGAACATGTGTGTATGCATGTCTGTATGTATGCATGCATGGATGTATGTTTGTATTCGGTCGGTAGGTCGGGGTGTGTGTATACGTGTGTGTGTATGTATATGTATATATATATATATATATATATATATATAATGCATGAAGTTTGTGTGCTGGTATGAGACTAGTGGTGTACATTCTAATTGACAACGAAACAGGATAATGAGAGAGAGAGAGTGAGATCAACGAAATGAACCAATAAGGCAAGGCGGATACACAGACAGAGACATACGCGCATACAGACGGAAAGAACGAAATGCACGAGTAGGTAATCAATAGGGCGAGATGTGTCAAACGAAGGATATGAGATAAGCGGCTCCCACACGCCGAACAGCAGCTTGCCCATCAGAGGTGGCGCTGTCACGCCCTGGCACCACGCTAAATCGGTGGCGCGAGCGAGGGAGTCTGGGCGTCTGTGTTTTCCGGCTTTGAGGCTGGAGTCATCCAATCTCTCCCGGCTTCTCTCAACATATGATCTCACAATGTGCTCTCAACTCTGACACGTTTTGGCCGCTTTCCATGCGTAGCGGAAGTCGTGTCTGGGGCTGAGGTTCACTTTGAAATACAAGTAATAGCGCTTCCTTCGGAGATCAACCATGGTAAAGGCTACACGCATATTGTGTAATCTTTATGCTCCCAATCGCTGATCGGCCGCTCCGCTTTCCTGTTGACAAAGAATGATCGCTGTTGAGGAGGTCCATCGTAGCCGACACAAGTTCAAGATTTAGGATACGGCTGGTTTACGGTCTTGCAGATAATGAAATCATTCAGGCATTAATTCTTGACAAGCCCGTCCAGTAGCAACCTCCAAAATGCACACTAAATCGCCGAAACACCTGTTAGGAACAATCACAGACCAGATGAAGCTCTATATCCTAAATTCCAGACTGTATACCCTAAAACGCACAGTGCTAAGGAATATGTAAACTAGTCGGATAAACACGCTGCAAGCCTCCGCGCCCTTCCCCAGACACACCCCCCGGTAAGGCTCCATGTGCCTGTGTAGCAGATGGGTAGTTCTCTAACGTAGTGTCTCTGTATCACCCTTGTCCTTTTAGAAATAATAGACAGACCCCTTTACCTATGTCCCTTAGTAGGAATTATTTAAGCAGGTCTACTTGCCGGTCTGCTTATTCTTTTGGGGGAACCATGAAAAGGACAAGGCTGGTCTCTTTTATAGGAACCCACAAAAGGCGAAGCGCTGATTGAAAGGACCCTAGAAGGGACCCCGACTTGGGAGAACAACCCATACACTTAGGCTTTAAAGTAGCCATGAATGACTAAACTCATTTAAGGCTGAAGCATATACTATCTTAGGTGCCTGCATTACGTACCCATAATAAGGAATGTACCATGATTCCGATAGTCTAGGGTCATTAAGTTAATGCAGGATGTAAATCATCAACCGTATAGGGGGAGGTACATCAAGACCTAGGGACCTCAAAACTGCTCCGCGGGCTGCCTCCCAAGACAGAGGAATTTGAAGCCACGATGCGTTCGGGCCAGATCCTGCCCGAACATGGCAATGTAGGAGCCTTAACTATTAGAACAGGGCGTTGATGCCTACTGTTTTCATCACAACCGGGACTATAAACAGAACATATGCCAAATTATTCCGACTTCCATATTGTGTTCTCTAAGGCGAGTATAAGTTTTCCAACCCCTATGTTACTATTTGTTCTCTGAAGTCTATCTAGAGCATTCACCGCACTTCCCGGAGAGCTGCGAACAACCACGCCGATTTGAGGGCTTTAGGCCTTAGGTTTTAGGGTTTAAGGAGAACGCAAGAAAACTTGAGAAGGGATTCTGGGATGGTCGACTTTTCAAGCTTCAAAATGTATTCTCGCCACATGTTGTCTCAAGCTGAGGTTTACACACATCGCCTCTGCATATTCAAACACCTCGCAAGGTCCCTAAACATGGTACCAAGACAAAGGGGTCTGCTAAACCCCAAACAATCCGGGCTGGAGGGGCACAGACTTCGCCATTGTTTGTGGCTCAGCCTCCGCTTTCAAATTGGACGAAACCTGTAACCGCCAGCCCCACAGCATCCTAACGTCAGAACCCAACACCCACCCAGGCCCTAGCTGGCCCTGACTACAAAAAGAAAACTCCGAGACAGCCCCCATGAAACTTCGGGCTGTGTAGCAATTCCTGTTTACACCCGCAATCCTGAAACCTACAATCCCAACAGAAAGGTACAAGCTGTTGGTTCCAAGTCTCTACATGCCATGCGAATTATGATTTGTTGGGTCTTGATGGTTGACTTACTCCTGAACCCCTCTACTAGCCCCAAAGCCCGCCAAGTCGTACAACTTCCAAGACCTCCACCCCTAAACCTTGAACACAACAGACACGACCTGAATCTGTTAACCTTGCAAGCCCTAAACCCTGAACTCTGAAGGCATAAACCCTGAACTCTGGCCTGAATGTATGGAGAACCAGTCGGTGGTGGTCTGCACCTTCGGTGGCAGGTAGATTAAGATCAGCCAGTATACGTGTTCAGAAATACGGAGATGTTATATCAGTTTTCAGTATTCCTAAACCCAAGCCTAGGGTTCAGGGTCTATAGGGGCTATCTTGGATCACAGGAACGCCGGCGAGGAAGCCGGAAGAAGCCAGCTATAGGGGCCGACTGGCAAAACCCTCAACCCTCAACCGTAGCCTAAACCCCCACAGGACCTCAAATTATATGGAATAATGGCCTTTGGTAGGTGTTGGGCCATTATTTTACTTACTTTTGGGCCCTATGCAAATGAACTTCGGCAGGGTGTGAGACCAACCTCGGCAGGAGATTGGCATTATGTGCAGCCGGGCCTCGGCAGCCCATTCACATGTAGCGTTTTGGTACTAGTGGCATAGTAGTTAGTATGCGTATTCTTTTTGTCATTGCTATTGTGATTATACTTACTGTAGTTAACATTACTAAAGTTCTCATTACCGGTGTACTTTCAAAAAGGTAAGAGACTGCGGTGCATGGACGCATACGGAAAGCCACAGAATGGTGGAATGGGCATCCAACGGGACGGCGCCGAAAGTCTCAAATCCTGGAGCCCTGCACGCCTTTCAAGGAGAAAACAAGGAGAAGCCTCAAACTATCAAAGGGGCCTCATAGCGGGGGGGGGGGGGGGGGGTTAGGGGTTCAGGGTTGGCCATACATCGTAAAACCTCCATAAACCAGGGAGTAAGGTTCCGTAATGCTGCAAAGGCTCTCCGTCGGCAGAGCTTATCTCCCTTCCGTCTTGGTCGACAACATCGGCCTGAATCTGAATCCAAAAGCTGGTTCTATATATATATATATATATTATATGCATGTATGCATGTATGATCCTGCCGGGACGGCTTTGTCTTCGGGAAGGCAACCGAACACATACTAGCACAAGGGTCTATCGCCTTCCATAAGGCTCTAGAACTATGTATCAACCCTAGGGTTTAGGTTTTAGGGTTGCAGGCCCGTTCAGGAGCAGCTTCGTGTTAATCGATTGCTTACCGGTTCAGGGTTTAGGCTTTGCCAACCAAAGAACCGTTTCTCGGTTTCAGAGTGAAATTTGCCTGGCAACTGCCACTAATTTTTCGAACTGCGCACAAGTCTCACAGCCCATGTCCCGCACTTTCCAAATCCACCGGATCCTTTGATCGAAATCCACACAGTACATACAACGCAGCTGAGGGCTGCACAGCCGCAGCGTCTGAGACATCCTGTCACAGGCTCCATAGACTCTGGTTTGGGACATGCAAACCCTAAACCCTATGTAAACCCTAGGTTGAGTTGTGTTTGCGCATCGCCTGGAGTCAAGGCTAGAAGCCTTCGAAATACATCCGGCAGCAAGATCTTATGGAAGAGGCCTTATCCTTAAGGGTCCACGTACCTAAATAGTACAAATGTTGGCCTTAAAGTACTCCCTATATGGGTACGTTGGGCCCAAAGTATATACTATTTGGGTACATGGACCCTTATACCCTAAATCCCCTTCAGATCCCTTTAAAGGAACCCTTAAGGGACCCCTATTTGGGTACATGGACCCTTAGGGTATGGTAGCCCCGGAGCAGCCCTTGAAGGCCTACAAACTCACGGGCTGATGACCAGAGAGCTGCAGAGCTTCAGATGTTGGGGAGAGAGTCTGGCCTAAATAGTAGGATCCTTATTATAAGGACTCCTAAAGGTACCCCTATTTTGTTGGGGAGAGAGTCTGGCCTTCGATACCTGGTCGGTTAAGGTTTTTTTTTGCTTTGTAGTGACTTTTCAGCCTGCCTGCAGTCGGCTTACACATAATGGACACACATCTACTTTCGGTTTAGGTTTAGGGTCTAGGGTTTAGGGTCCCGGTAGCTTAGAATAAAAAGGCCTCCTTCTTGGGTATTGGGTAGATATAAGACCCCAGAAAAGGAAAAAGAGCCCACTGGGAGACGCACTAATAGGAAACCATTCTGATTCTGAGGCTGATCGATCTGGCCAGAAGGAGCTACGCCGTCAGCTATGCCCCAACCCAGGACAAAGACTTTGCTTAAACGACTATCGGTAGCTCTAGCCTAGGGCCAGGCTCGAGGTACCTATATAGTTCTCGGACTCGGCGTCTTAACACCTTACCTCTGGTTTAAGATTTCCGGCACATTCGTGGTCCCGAAGCCCGGCAATCATCATTTCGAGCCTGCACAACTAAGACAGGATCGTCTGCCGATATGTTGCTGCCAAGCTCCTGAGGAAGCGAGAGGCGAATGCTATTGCTATGATACTTGCATCGCAAGGGTTGCGGATTCTGGGTTGAGGCCTGCTCTAAACCCCTCCCTTGATCCTCAAGGTACGTAGAATACTAGCCCGTTGATAGGCCTTGGCCAGGTATTTTACCTACTGTTGTCTGTCTAGGTTGGCCCCCATCATCCCTCATCCCCAAATCCTAAACCCTGACACCCTACACACAGAAGGACTGGGGTTTACTTCAAGGATCATAGGACTTATAAACTCGGGTTATAATTAGGGTAACCCTCCTTATAACTACATATAACCCCAATCAAGGTATTCATAACCTTACTTACTAAGTCCCATGATCCTCCAAGTAGGCTTTAGGGCTAGAGCGTCTCGGATTCAGGACCCCGATGGGATCTGAACACTTGACGAGATAAGGCTTGTGAGGACGGGGCGGGTTGAGCCTTTACCTAAAGTCTCTAATGTAGCTTCTTTGTTTCCAAAATCTCATATAAGGGCGTCCGGTGACTGAATTTGTTTCAGTGCTTCTCCTGCTGTTCGGGTTTATCGAAGCCAGGAACTTGGAACATCACTATCCCCACGAGAAGCAAAGTATGCTGTAGGAGATCTCAGCACTATTCAACTGGGGTACACAGTAAGGTATTGAAGGTCTACTTGGAGTTTCATGGGTAGCTATAAGTAGGGTTATAAGCAGGATAACTATGGTTATAACCTAAATTATGGGACTTATAACCCCACTTACAACTACCCATGAGCCTCCAAGTAGGTTTACTTAGGGATTCAAAAGCCTACTGCTTTGGGGGCTTAGAGCCTCTAATCAATGGGTCATAACCCATTAATTTGTAGGGTTTGGGGATACAGGTAGGGATTGTAGCCTGGCCCAAAAGCCTTATTTCATGTGGTCTTTAGGCCCAAAAACCTTAGAGCCTCAGGGTAGGCCATGAAAAGCATGGCGGGGGGGACGAGGAGTGCTGGTGGCAAAAGGCTTTCAAACCACCCTAAACCATAACTCGCTACAGGCATTGGTGGACATCGCGGCCTTTAATTTGACTTTATGTCAGGTGTAAGAGATCCATCAGCTACCGTCATCAGTAGCATCAGCCCACTTGAAAGTTCGAACAGTGCCCCCCCTCAGCGTACTCAATGTTGATCCTGTAAATATAAAGGGGCATAGTAGCAGAGATACTGCATCAAGATTCAACGCGAAGTTCTATGCGCACGAAGGGCCACACTGTAGGCAAACAAAAGTTCTTGGTCCAGTCGATATACTTAGCAGTCAGTTATAGGGGTCCAGAGTCTATGCTGGAACTCAGGGATAAGTTATCATCATGGGGTGCGCAGAAAATCAGGTGCTGCCCTGACCCCCATACCACCTTTACCCTACACCCTATAAAGCCCTGTACCACTTCTACGAAACCACTTGTTTTGGTAAGTGCGTCCTCCCAGCGTCTCCAGCTGCACGAGCCACTGGCAGAGGCAGCGAGAACAACCTGGAGAGAGACGCCCATGTCTAGACCACCTAGTTATGGTTTAGGGGGCTTAGGGTTCTAGGACCTAGTGAAACTCAACAAACCACCCTGGATGGTTGAAAAGCCACGCAGCTAGACGAGCTACCCAGGGACATGCTCCGAGCGTGGTTCACCAGTCTGAAAGATACATGTATGTGTATGTGTATATATATATATAGTGTAATGTACTATAATATAATAAAATATGATGTTTAATTAATCTAGAATATATACACCTGAAGACAGCAAGCCAAACAAAAGCTGGTACATCAACTAGTCCAGTATGCAGAAGGGGCTTTTCCACGAGCTCATGTTGATAAGATGATGGAGGCCCTTGCATGGACCCGTCCCCAACGAAACAGAACCAACAAGGTAGGAAGTCGAGTCACGCCGAAATCGACGCTGACAAGCATCAGATTACGCTCCCCCATCGATGATGGCAACTCCTGCCGGTTCTCGTCTGTGTGGCATACAGAAAAAATCCTTGAGGCCAGATACCACGGTAGTTAGTAGATTATTGAACTGTAATGTAAGTACTGTTGTCAAAAGGGGGCTTTAGGGGCGAAAGACAGCCTACCACGGAGTCTTCAAATAGACAACTGTGCTCCTAGGTCCTGATCGGACATCGGGCCCCTCACGTCTAGATTTGAAGTCTCATTGAGGGTTGAGCGGTACTACTGCAGATGATAATTATAAACCCTGCATTACCTGAAGGACCCGAAACTATGACCAGTATGGTAAATTCCCTACTATGGGGAATGCAGGATCTATATGATCAACCGTAGTGTGAACAGAATTTCAACAGCAATGACCAACCAAATAACTTCAAGCAAACTCAGAACTGCGGAGGCAACATCAACATCGTGTACTCGCAGTGAATTGGGACCTGGGATGTCCTGGCATGCTGCGAGGAAGCCCGGTTAGGGGCATCGCAGATATGGAACGGGGAAGTCCGACAAATGTTGATCACCCGGATACAGTTTAACAACGACTAAATCCCAAGCCTTCATTCCTGCTGCCTACAGGGCCTGCAGCATGTCCTTGGCGCGGAAACGGAAGCCATGCGAGTTCGACGGTAATGAGCTGGAGCCACCACACCTCACAAAAACTAGCATAAGGTTGTGGGGCATGTTATACATAGGTTTCAGAGACAAGAAGCGGGGAACTACTACTAGCTGTTCAGACCCAGGGATCGCAACATAAACTTCTATAATTCGCATTTAGGGTTTGAGGGTTTGGCAAAAATGGGTCCTACTAGGAATTCCTCATGCTCTGTTGCTTAACACCCCAGAACGGTGTCAGGATGAAAGAGCTCTACGTAGTTTACCCTCAAAAACACCAAGAAACCTCGGAACAAAACTTTGACTACGGCTCAGGGATTTTGTTTGGGGTCTAGAGTTTAGTGTTGAAGCTGGGAACTTGGAAAAACCAGACGGCAGGGTTTGAAAGGTCAGCCTTGCTGTCTTGGAGTCACCACATCCTGCTTGTAACTTCCCTAACGACCCACACGTCGAAGCTCCGGGTCATACCCCAAGACAAACTGCACATCCCTAAACCATACATGCTAGGAGCCGGCTCTCAGCTTGCCTATCCATTACAAACCCTATATGCTACTATCTGTCTGCCAGGTTGCACTACAGTTCCGTTGGATATCACCGCTTCCAGGTAGTGGAAGGGGCTTGCCACACTTCGCAAAGCAACATTTCCATCTCCTAGCCGTTGGGAGCTAAAAGTTCCGGTGGGGCCCTCAATGTAAAACAATCCTATCTGATGCCCTCATTGTTTGGATTCCGATCGTATTCTTCTTGGTTATGGGGCAGGGGCTGATTATTCAGGAGCCTCCGTGATTTCAAGGAGGGGAACGGAACATGGAGTCGCCTCGAGGCTGCTCAAAAGCTTTGCCTCTTAGGGTTTGGGGCTATATGCATTGTTTACGGTCTCTGCAGTGCCTGCAGGCACCGGCAACGAAAAACTCTTGCCTGAGTACGCAAAGTAACTTAAGACTTGCTTCTGCCTCTGCTCCCAACAGCCCTGCACACCAAAGCCTCGACCTCAGATCTTTGGCAAGTCAAGCCCTGACCGCAAAACCTAACTCCAACATGGTTCCCGTCGTACATACTCTGTTTTCCTTGCTGTGGTAGCTTGTGCGAAACTGGAATTAAAACCCTTGGACGTGAAATCCTTTTAACAGCCCTTGTATATCCCTACAAAAACTGCACAACTTGACATAAACTCACATAAAGCAGCACCATATAGAGCACTCCGGAAGCCCCAGGCGTCCTACATCCAAGACCTCCAAGACGTGTCTCTCCGAGGTCGCATTGAATTCGAAGGACCAGGAGCCCGCAGCGTCCAAGCCGAAGTACCGGTCCTACCGGCTGAAAGAAAGGAGCATGTTGTTCATTTGTCTTTTGGGTTTGGGTTTAGCATGTATAGGGTCCAAGGTTTAAAGGGCTCAGGGTTTAGGATCCTAATTACGGCTGAAGGAAGGGAGCATGGGTTTAATGTAGGGGCCTTGATAATTAGACTAGGGTTTGGGGGTATCGTATATATAGTATGACTATAATCACCAAAAGCCTGTTGTAATGATTAAGGCCCCTAAATGCGGGTCCTACGGCTGAAACAAAGGAGCATGGGGTTAAAAAGCAGCTCGAGAAGGTTTGAGGGGGTTTGCCTAAGTTTTTACGGATTCTTTACAAGGTTTTTGCGAGGGCTTAAAAGGCACTACCAGAATAAGGACCAGGAAGATGCCATAGTTGCCGTAGTTGAGGTTTAGGGGACCTGGGATACTGCCGGATGTTGCGCATTCAACTCTAGGGCTTTACCTACACCCCCCGAAAAGTAAGTAAAATGATGGCTCAACACCTATAAACGGCCATTATTCTGCGTACTTTGGGGTCCAGGTAGGGTTCTACTTACCAAGGCTACAGTTGATGGTATAGGCGGAGGGTTGAGAGGCACACAAGACCTAGGTCTAGAAAGCCCGGGGTCGAGGATGATGCAGGATGTAAGGGCCTTGCGATGCTAGAAGCATGACTAAACCCAGCCCCCCCCCCCCTCCAACAACACATGTGAAACAGTGGCCCATTGGCCCAACACATGCAAAAGGCTAGTAACGGCTAGTATTCTACATACTTTTGGGGTCCAGGCCGGGTGCTGGATACATAGAACCTAGGCTCAAACTTCGTCCTCTGAGCTCCGCAGGCCAACCCTGTGGCCAACCGGCAGCAGATTCCTGAGCAAAGCAAGCAGGGATTCAGTTTAGGCGCTCAAGGTTTGCAGAATGGTCCGTTCGTACGCCCGAATGCACAGGAAATAGAAGCTTAAAGTCGCGGAATCATGCTAACCACGCGAACCTCTCCCGTACCCGGACACTACATTGTAGCAGCTTGTTGGGCAATGTGAATCTATTTGCTGCGGGATCCCTGAGCATAAAGTCCTTTAGTCGAATCCGAGCTTAGTTAGCCATCAACCGCAAACCCCTAAGCCGCGACCCTCTGAACCCAAATAAGGCACTCAAGCCTGACACGCTGAAGCCGAAGCCTTTATAAAGCCTTCGAACCCTACGCCCCAAAACCCTTAACCCCAGCAGCCCAAAGCCTAAACTCCAAACGCTAATCCCCAAACCATTAAGCCCATAAGCCATAAACCCTAAACCCCAATTCAAAGGGGTAAAGGAGGCACCCTTAATGGGGACCCCTACCCTATCATGGGCTATATAATGGGTATATCACAGCTATATTAAGGGTTTTTACCCAGGGGTCCTTATTGAGGGTCCCTCCTTTTACCCTTGGACCAATGCGACCGAAGAGGCGATGGACGTTCCGAGGAGTCTGCTACCGATGAGGAGAGCAGAAGGCTTGGAAAGCCCAGCCTTGTTTCGGGTTTTCCCTAAGGGTCCATGTACCTAAACAGTATATACATTGGCCTTAAAGTACTCCCTATATGGGTACATTAGGCCCAAAGTATATACTGTTTGGGTACATGGACCCTTAGGGTTTCTTTTCTGGATTGAAGGTTTAAGTTTTAGGGTTCAGGGGTTTAGGGTTTAAGGGTTTAGGGTTTAGCATTTAGACTTACGATTTACGGGTTAGGACGGTTAGGATTCAAGCTGAGGGTTTATCTGTTGATGAAGCTGTACTTCTCCGTGTGCTTTAGGCTTAAATAGGCAAGGGTCGTAGGGATCAGGATCTTGGGGCATAGCTTTTTTTTTAAGTGCAATGACTCTTTGTCCACTCCGCAGGAGCAGGTCTTGAGCCTGCCGACGCTGGCTTGCACATAGCTTTTAGGGGTTTAGGTTTCTAACATTCTGGTTCTTGCTGGGCTATTTAGTTTATTCTTTGGAGCACGAAGACTTGTCCTTTTGTTCGTGAGTTGTTTCACCCCTTTCTCTTTCTCAATTTGGGGCCTCAGCACTGGATCCCTGCCGTGCTTCGTATCTTGAGGGAACCTAGGTCGCAGAACTGCGGCGGGCGCTGGTTTGAGGGCACGCAAGGTGTACATGAAATCCGTGGCATGTCGGCCTAAGGTTGCACGTCTCAGGCTCGACACGTTTGAGACTTTCGGTGGCTAAGTAGCTACGTAGCAGCACGAAAGACCTTCCTATGCTCAGTTACATTGGGAGCGAGGACTTCGGGAGTTGCCGCAGAGTCTCTGGCACGTGTTCAGTGTAGGGTTCAGGGACTCCGCGTGACTAAACGAAGTCCCCAAACCCAAAGCCCAAACCCAATGTAGCCGCTAACCCTAAACTTGCATAGCGGCAGATTCTCCAGCTTCGTTTCCAGGTTTGCCAGCGTTGCTCGCAGGGAGGCCTCGTCTTGGCCGAGCCTGTCGTTCCGGTGCGCACCAGCACTACTGTTGTGTATCTACTGTTCACAGAAGCATTACACCGAGGAATGGAACAGCACATTCGAAGTAGCAGCAGCTGTCGTCGCCGATGTAGGAGGAGCTGCAGTATAGGAGTTGGAGTAGCAGTAGGATTGCGAGTAGGCAGAGGTGGTAGTCGTCGTCCTCGTCGTGCTGCTGCTACAACTACTACTGTACCTACTCCGACTGCTGCTAAGACAACGACTACGACGACGACTACTGCCACTCTGCTGCTCCTACTACTACTACTACTACTACTACTACTACTACTACAACTACTACCACTACTACTACCACTACTACTACTACTACTACTACTACCACCACTACTACTACTACTACTACTACTACTACTACTACTACTATTACTACTACTACTACTACTACTACTACTACTACTACTACTACTACTACTACTACTACTACTACTACTACTACTACTACTACTACTACTACTACTACTACTACTACTACTACTACTACTACTACTACCCGCCACCGTGTTTACCGTACCCCTAAATATTGAAAAACGCAGCTGCCGCTGTGGTGGCGTGCTTATTTCAGTGTATTTTGGAAGTACGCAAATGACAAGGCTGTTTTGCGTTTTGTGTGGGAGGCGTTGCTCGAAAAGGTTTACGCGCGTGTGTTGTGACAACGTGTCTTGCTCCACATCCTTGTGCAGCATGTTGTACCAAGAGCCCAAAATGCTGCAAATACCAGCGTTTTGGGCATGATCGCCAAAGGCAGTGACATGAACATCAACCTGACCATCTTCATCATCATCTTCATAACCATCATCCTCGCCATGCTCAACATCATCGTTTACCTGATCATCTTCATCATCATCCTCATAGTCATCATCCCTATCATCATCATCCTCATAATCGTCTTCATCATCAACATAAGGCCGGTGATGCAGTTAACGATGATGTTGAAGATGGCGAGGATGATGGTTATGATGAAGATGGTCAGGTTAATGTTCATGTGATTGCCTTTGGCGGTCATGCCCAAAACACTGGTATTTACAGCTTTTTTGGCTTTTTGTACATGCTGCACAAGAATGTGGAGCAAGACACGTTGTTACAAGCATCCTACCACTGGTACTGCTACCGGCGCTACTGTGTTACTGCTTACGGTCAACCATGTCGTCATTAGCCCCCCTGCCCCCCCCCGTTACTGCTTACGGTCAACCATGTCGTTATTATCACCCCCCCCAGTAGCCGATTTCACGGGTACGGTAAACACGCCGCTGGCTACTACTACTACTACTACTACTACTACTACTACTACTACTACTACTACTACTACTACTACTACTACTACTACTACTTCGGGTATTAGCATCATTACCAGTACCAGTATCTCTATCACCACAACCACCGCCAGCAGCAACAGCAGCAGAACCACGAACATCAATACCAAAACTAGCACTGAAACCACCACCATAAGCAACAGCACAGCCGCGTCCACAATGACAAGCACCACCGCCAGCGCATGCCAGCGCCACCACTACAATACGCTGATGAGTCTGATGAGCCTACAACGATTGCAGCGGCGACGGCGACGATCACGCCGATAACGATTGTCGTCGCCTTCCAAAAACGTATTCGTCATCAGAGTAATCATATTAATGTTCATCATCACCGCCGACAACAGCACTGTCATGATCATCTTCATCATCATCATCATCATCAGGTGTCGTCATCAGTAGCAGCGACAGAGGAGCCTTCAGCAGTAGCATCATCTTCCCGACACTCTCTTCTCTTATAGTTGTGGTGACCGTTCTCCTCATAACTGTCTTCATGGCATCCTCCGACTTAAAAACCTGTTTATCGGGGAAGCATGGACAGGGGAGCAGACATCGTAATCGCAAGAAGCGGCACACATTACCAAGCCCGGTGCTGTAGACAAGACCCTACGCCCCAAACCTTGAATCCCTAAATCCTGAACCCCGCAACCTTGAACTCGAAATTTCTTCTGTAAAGGCCTTGCTGTGATGATGCGCAGGGAGACGATGTGAGGGCCAGACCTCGTCGGAAGTGTGCCCAAGCATTGTAAGGCTATATTGCGAGACTCTATCTCAACATGATTTGCAAAAGAGCTCTCAAAGGCTTCTGAGCTTGTAACATAGAGTCCCATACAGGAAGTTTCGTAAACATCGGGTTTCGTATGTAAGGGTCCTACTAGCAAGAATCTTACTGCCTGGGGTCCGTCTCTGAAGGACCACTGCTGGTCTCAAGCTTCCGCATGTCTGCACAATCTGTGAAATCATGTTGTGGAAGGCCTATGGAGCTTGCTGGCCAAGCAATTTGAAAAAGCTACGATGTTTTCGGTGTTTGGGGGCCTCGGAATAGTAATAAGCAATACATGTAGAACTGCCGATTAGCAACTGTGGTACGACTACGAAGCCGATCCTACTATTCTTCTCCTCAACAAAGCCACTTGGGTATATATATATATATATATATATATATATGTATATACACACACATATTCACCAGGCATCCCTCACTCCTGAACGGGATATCCCCAATTAGGCTCGCGACCGATTATACGGCTGAGGGCCGTCTACGGGCTCCTTGTAAAGGTTCCTTCATGCGTCCATGTAGAAGGTCCTACTGGGTATCTTAAGTTTATATTGTTGCTATTACGGCCATGTCAACAGGTAGGTTGCATGGTCAAGGTCCTTCTTAAACTCTTTGGCTTGATTAAGGATCCCCAATCTAGTGTGGCGCTTGATAGATTAAGACGGTTCCATACTCCTGCACGTTTGCATGTTGCACTGCGAGATGTTTGAGGCGAAATATGTCGAATATGCATTCCTGAATTTGTACAGGGATCCGGAGCAAATGAGAGATGCCTAATAGTCGCCATCTGCTGCCGCCTTTCAAAACCCATCAAGACCTATGCGTAAGTCTCTAGACACTATCTAGACTATCAAGCCAGCCAAGTCGCGACAACACCTCGTCCGGCACGTTCACTCCGCAAGTGTTGTCGGAGGTGGGATAGTATGGTATCCTCGCAGGCAAGACCCTCCGTATTCGGCTCTCTACAGAACGCTGAAAAAACGCAAAGCACGACGCTCTAAATTCACAATCGAAAACTCAAACAAACGCACACAGAGCAATGGGCAAGAGGCCAAATCCCAGAAACACGACAGCGGAAGAAACGAACAGCGGAGTTCCAGGAACAACAGGAGAAATTGGGAAGGCCCACTGGCCATATATGGGAAATCCCTGAACTTGGAAACCGAAAACCCTAAACCTTCTGAGCCCTTACTAAACTCAAGGAGGCAAGAGATGTAAAACAAAAACAAACCCTGAAACAAAATCGACTGGGCCCAGGGAAGTGTTTCCTGGACTCTGCAAAACCTCCTTCTCTGAGTGCTTGTAAAACCCACCCAAAAGATCTTTGGGGTTTGGGGTTCTTTAGCGTCTAGGGTTTACAAAAGAAGCCTTGTTGAAGTTTCGGGTTGGTTGACTGAGTAGTTTCGGACGTTGGGCTTACTTTCGGGGTCTAGGACATACCTTAGAAGCTGCCCCCCCGCCCTGTAATAGTGACTGTAAGGATTATATTAGGGCCCTATTATATTTCTATGATACCACTATTACAGGGTGGGGCCCCTTCTAAGACATACCTGATCTCTGAGAAGCATACATTTTATCGGGGTTCCGTACTATGAGCCCCGCCTATAAACCTTGGGTGACATATAAGCTCATATCCCCAAACACTTAGCTCCCATCCTTGAAAGGCCTGTGTAGACGCACAATAGCCCCTGAACACCCTAAGCCCAAAACAAGGCACTGATCTCAAACAGACCAGGATGAAATAAACCCTATAAGTTATAAGCCTTGAACCATAAACCTAAGCCCTAAACCCTAAGCCAAGAAAAACCCTAAACCCTAAACCCTATAAAGCCTAAGATAGCACTGGAAGCCCTGTCTCAGCCCAAAAAGGCCCTCAACGGAGCGAGGGGCCGGATTTGACCGCGGTGCTTCTCGAAGAATCCCCAGCCGAGGTCAGCTAAGGGCTGCCTGCAAAAGATAAGGTTTCGCGGTTTAGGGTTTAGGGTTTCGGGCTATCAGGGTAAGGCTTCAGGGCTTGGGGCTTAGGATGTGGCTTTAGGGCTTAGAGGGTTGCCTGCAAAGATGAGGTTTCAGCGTTTCGGGCTTTAGTGTTCAGGTACGGCTTTAGAGCTTAGGGTGCTCGAGTCTAGAGTCTGTCGCTTGGGGGTTGTGATTCCGGTTTCGGGTTTAGGGCGAAGGGTTGTCTGCACAGACGTTTCGGGTTGAGGGCTTTAGGGCCTGAGATGGGGTTATCTACAGGAGAATCTTGAAACTCTGTATATATGTAGTTTCGCGTTTCGAGCTTACGGGCGCAGGTTGAGGCGGTTTTATGCTTAGGGTTCACAGCCTAGGTCCTAGGGGTCATAGGGTTTTAGGGTCATACTTGGGATGTTCAATATAAGGCTTCTTCATCTGAAATAAGAAGCTCCGAATTCCGATGCCAAGATCCGTTTGCGACTAAAGCCAAGCCCAGACTAAACTGTAAGAACGAAAAGCCTGTTCAGCTAAAGGCTCAGTCTTTGGGAGTCTGCCTTCCGAGTGTCCAGGCATGTATGAGGGGGCTTCCAGAAACCTGCGAGATCTAAACTGCGACCGAAATCCTAAACCCGAAGCCCTAACCGCTATAGATCCCTTATGGGAGCCCTTACAGGAACCCTTTCAAATCCCTTTTAAGTGATATTGGAGTCTCTGGGAACTCTACATCTGCAAACCGAAACCCTGAACTGGCATCCTGGACCTCCCTTGGCGTTAGTAGGGCCCTAAAACGCACACAAGCAAAATTATCCCATATAAACCCCCTTATAGTGAAGCCCAAAACGGAATGGATATCCCTATATCATGCTCATGCTTATGTGGGAGTTTCCGAGAATAGTGGACCCTAATATAGTACCCGAAATAGTAGGATCCCCATTATAAGGACCCCAAAATATGATACCCCTAATTTTCGGGAACTCCCATGTGCTTTTTTGGGTCCATAATAGGAGACCTACAGCTGGCGCTTCGAGCCCACGTGCCAGTGCGGCAGCTCTCCTCAGCTCTTCGTCTCTTCATGCTGCCAAGACCCAAGAAAGTAGACTCGACCCCATAATGGGCTATATGATGGGTATATATTATAAGTTATAACGTCTATATTATGGGTATATACCTAGGGGTCCTTATTAGGGGAACCCCTTTTCTGACGAACCCATGTTCTTGCTATAGAACCTCGATAAGTTCAGGGTGTTTTGGGGTTTCAGGACTCGAAGGTGCAAAACCAAGCCCATGCCCTCTTCGACTACGTACCTATGATCTTCAACAGCCTCGGCTCCGGCCGACTTCAAACAGTATCTGAGGATTCACAGTTTAGGGTTTTGGGCCAGTTTTTTGGTTTCGGAAGTTTGGGCTGGGGTCTTTGGGTTTGTGGTTGGGGGAGTTTCAGCTTTGGGGCAAGGGTGCAGGATCATAACCAACATACCCAGCGAGAGGACACATAGCTTAACATGAAGAAACCGCTAAACGTTAAACCGTAAGCTCTAATACTAGACAGAGGCTTTAACCTCCTGACCCACAACCCGAAACCCCAAACCCTAACCCTCCTGACCCCAGAACCCGAAAACCCTGAAAACTCCCGCTCCGGGTCTGACGTTCTCAAGTCTACCTGTAGTCTCCATTGTAGCTCCTTTTCGGGGTTACCTTTTAGGATGCCTATTAAATATTAACTTGGTTAAACCAGAAAAAGGAACTACAATGGAGACTATAGGTAAACCTCCAAAACCCCTAAACTCCATGGCCCCAAGATAGTTCCTTTTTGGGGCTCGTATATAGAATCCTATAAGGTAATCCCAAAACCTAAAACCCCTAAACCCTAAGGCCCCAAAGTAGTTCCTTCTTGGGGTGCGTATATAGAACCCTATAAGGTCATCCTAAAAAGGAGCTACTATGGGGCCTCTGGGTAAACCCTAAACCCCAAAACCCCCGGATCCTTGCATACGCCAAGTCTCACTCCACTTACCTTTGCTTAGTAGGGAATGGAGGAATGGGGTACAATTATAACTAGTATTGCTACCATTCTTCCATCAATTCCCTACTAGCCATAGGTAAGCAAGTCTCACTCCAGGGACTGTAGGCCCAGCTCTCGCAGTTGTAGTCGGCCAGGCACAGATCGCCACAGTCCTGTCATATAGGGGCCTTTGTACCGAGAATATATATATATATATATATACATAGATGTATATATATATATATATATATATATATATATACATACAAATAAATATACATATATATATATATACATATATATATATATATATATATATATATATAGAGGGTTTAGGGTTTGGAGCCAGGGTTGAGGATCCTGCAATGTAGGGGCCTTTGTAACTAGACAATAGAGCTTTGAGGGTGTATTACAATGCTTTGAGGGTATATTCTCGTACACTGCTCTAAGGACGATAAAGGGGTGACATGGTTGATAGGTATTTAGGCTGCTAGAGTAGCAGTAGTAGCTGCAGGAGGAGTGATCGTCGTCAAAGTGTACAAATCGGAACAAGATTACCAACTATTCAGGTCTATAACAGCACGCTGCTGGGCGCTGAAACTTTGGCTTCGGGGCTTTCTGTGTCGGATTTCACCTAGGCACGCAGGCTTGGCGAAAGAGAGGACGACACCTGCACGGACGGATGCACTGTGAAGAATAACATGAGCACTGTGGCCCAAATACTAAACCCTAGTCTCGTTTAGGGCTTAGAACCATTGGACTGCGGGTTTAAGCCCATACCCCTAATCTCTGAACCCCTGAACCCTCCGCCCTGAGACCATGTTGCTGTCCTCCGGTCGACGGATGTAGTAGTGCTGCTCGAAATGGCCGTGGGGGATGCCTCACCAAACAGATTGGAGTACTTCTGGGCTCCGTTCCTAGTGTTTGCCGTCTAATCAAACTGTATTTTTCAATCTCATACTACTTGGGTTCTATGGAGGCCATTCTTGAATTGTACCGGATCTTGTCCAGAATTGTTGTTGCTGGTTGGGGCCTGTATGGCTTGAAGTCTGTATCCCACATGTGTGGAAAGGTTCACTCTGAATTCAAGGCTTGGGCTTATAAACTCCAAACCCTGAAAACCCTAAACTAAATCCTAAAACCCCAAACCCCCTAAACCCTAAAATCCCAAACCCCCTAAAACCCTCAAGCCCTAAACCCTAAAACCCCAAAGCCCCTAATCCCTAAAACCCCAAACCCCCTAAACCCTAAAAAAACCCAAACACCCTAAACCCAAAAAAAACAAACCCCCTAAACCCTAAAACCCCAAACCCCCTAAAACCCTAACACCCAAAGCAATGAAGTGGCAGGGAGCTGGTGTCCGGCACATTGTCGAAGATCTCAGGGCTCACGGAGGCCTTCTTGGTGTGATTGTCGCACTCCTGGGAGGTTCGAGCAACTGCATGTCTTTGAGACAGGATTTAGGGTTTAGGGGTTTGGGGCTTAGGGTTTAGGGAGCTCTATAATCAGGATCTTTGAGCGGAGTGTCAGGATGTGTGTGTGTGTGTGCGCTACGAACCCAATGTGAACTCAGAGGCCGCGGCGATAAACCCACAAACTCTGAAGGCATGATGGTTTCCGTCCTGCCCGCGGAAGCCCTCGAAGCACTCACAGCTTGCATTGCTGCCGTTGCCCGGGGGCTGGCAGACGCCAAAAGCTCCACATTCCACTCCTGGACTAAGGAGCAGGGTTTAAGGAATTATAGGTTTATGGATCCCGGATTGAACACTACAGAAGAGCATCTACTTGTCCAGGAAGGTTTTCGAAAAGCCTGCATCGGGATTACGATTCCAGAACATCTGGGGTTACGGGTCATTCAGGCTAAGCTTAGGATTATCATCCTGGAAAGAATAATGGACGGGCTTCAAATTTAGATGACCTTAATGGCTGAGTCAAACCCAACAGCTACTTGAATAACCCTACTCTGCAACCACAAACACTACATCCGCTCATATCCCAAACGCCATCCACGACTCCGTGGCAGCTGTCCGGAGCTCGCGTGCCGCGCCAAATGCCACTGTCGATCCACTCGTTGGCGGCCGACTGCCTGCGGCGCAAGACCTTGCTTGGAGGTATTCTTACTCCCCCAATAAGCCACAGAAATGAAAGGTTAAACTTTCCGATTCCTACTAAACCATAAGAGCCCAAAAAGTTTTAAAGGTTGGGTATTGGGGATCTAGGCATTGCGTCCCCGAATACCCTACTTCCTGAAGAGTTTAGAAAGGGGAAATCATGACAAAGAATCTCCAACAAGGTAAGTTTATAGGTTCAGCTAGGTTTAGGGTTCAGGGGGCTTTGAGGGTGTCTTGTAGTATAAGAAGTATGACAGGGAACCCTACGGAATATTGTTACGTACCATTTGTTCGGGCACATTCAACCCAAAGGGACCCTGCTTTATCTCAAAAGAGCATCAACTACCTGTAGTATCCATTGTAGTTCCTTTTCGGGGTTACCTTTTAGCAGCCCTACTATAAATATGGTTAAACCAGAAAAAGGAACTACAATGGAAACTATAGGTACTGCCGAGCTGCCCAAAGTGGTGACAGACTTGAGTCGCCGAGTTTCGGGGCCGTCCAGTCCTCAACCGCAAGAAAACGTTATGCGGCTGATGATCGTATTCCTGCAATACCGATAATGAGGGATATACCATTAATATAGTTGAAGGTCCTTAAGGTCACGCAGGATTCATATCATCAACCGCATCATGGGTCTGGGGTTGCAGATCACTGCGAACTCTGTTGTGTAGTTACTAGTCTTAGTTGCTGCCGCCGCATTGCGATTGGAGGTTGCTCGGTCCTAGTAAGACACACAACTAATGACATCGCCACCGTTCTTTCGATATTTGTACCTAATGTCCTGCACGGCACACTGATCTTTCTGACCATGGCATGATGGCTGCTCTAGATAGCCATATGGCCGACTTTGTTTGGAAGAGCTCCACCTGTTCCAGCTCAGTGTGCTGTCTTCTGGGAGAATTTCAAGTTCAGTTCAACCTCATCATCACATGTCTCTTCACAAGCGTTGCCAAGTAGAACCGGGTGAAAACCAGCGTCCTTGTTGCAGCACAGCCCCCTCCCCGCCGGTTTCCAACATAAAGAGCTCCTAGACGTAAGACATTCCCTGTCCCTGACCCCTACACGCCTCTAACATCCTCTCACCTGACAATCCACCTCTGAATAGCCTAGGCTCAATCTGCACACAGCCCACTGTCTGCGGCACATCGTACCGGACCTCGAGATAGGCCTGCCCCCACACCACAAACCCTGTTGCTCAATTCATGGAGTGGTTCAGGGTTTAGGGCCAAACTTAAACCACCGAAATCTGCTTTTTGCAGGGTCATATGTTATTAAAAGAGTGTACAGCTGTACAACAAGTCAGTAGGCTGTGGTAGTGTAAGGTGGGCTTTTAGGGCTAGGGCCGATTAGCGTTTGGCAATCTTTCGGTTGACCCACTACAGGGTCCCAACCCCTAAACACCACCAGCAAACTGGGTTTAGAGTTAGAGATTCACAGGGCTTTTCGGATGACAACCTTATGCCCTATACATATATATATATATATATATATATATATAGCTTATAAGCCCTAAACCCTTAAGGGCTTGCAGCCTTGAAGCTTCAAAAGCCTGGGGATCGTATCGAAAGGCTAAACTCTCAGACCCTAAACCCTGAATCCTTAAGGTCGTTTAGGAGTTTAGGACAAGGAGTTGGGGCTTGGGGCTTGTGGGGCATAGGGTTTGAGCTTAAATACTCGCAGCACAGACTCACGACAAAACGCGACCGTATCGCTGACGATGACCCTGTGAAGAACCCTGCTCATCCACCAGTGAAGCTTATTATCCATGTATATAGATAACCCCCGAGCCTTATTGGACCCTCATAGAGCCTGAAGAACTCCCTGTACAACACTGGAGCCTTATCCAACGACCCTAAACCTGAACCCCTAGAGTCCTTAACCACTACAGCCTATAGTCGAACCCTCTAGTCCCTCACAAGCCGCCACACCAGGGATCATTAATCAGGAATTCTTAAAGAAAGCAGCTTGAAACGACTTCTTATAGAGGAGACTCTAACAAAACCCTTGCAGCAAGCAATCAGTAAACCTACGGACCCCGAACCTTTCGAGCACAGGAAAGACACTCCCACAGATGCCTTGTAGCCCTGATGTGAGACCCATTTCTTGACCCCTACGCCGTACAGGCACCACCCAACCAAATCCCTGAAGAGACTAGCCTCACCAGGTAGCACCACACAGTCGACGCCGGAGCAGCGGTGCGCGAAAGCCTGGCCAAAGGTTCGGGATCTGTGAGTTTAAGTTTAACCTGGACCCTAAGGAACCTACCTTTTTTTAGGGATCCCTAATATGATTTATCTTTATATAAGTCCTTAAAAAGGTAGGATATTTGGGGTTAAGTTTAATTAAGGGCTCTGAAAGGGGCACTGTTTAGGGCAGCAGGCTTCTGGTTGCGCTTTATGGTTGAATTGTTGTTTTGTGTCGCTCGGTGTTTACAGTCTTTGAGGTTTTCATAAAGGTTTATATGACTGCGTGACATATCCAAGCACTATACAGACTGTGGTGGCAGCCCCTGGGTAAGAAGCTTTTCGGAGGCTGTTGTGTTCTACAGCATGTGGCATGTCGGTGAAACTAAGATTGAGCTGCTTCTGCCCACTGGAATTGTGTGCAGGACTGGGAAGCAGCACCTGGTGAGATTGAAATCCTAGGCCCCGCATGTATACAAGACGTGTCGTTGCTGCTGCTGGTCCCTGAACCCTAAACCCTAGACCTGAGCCTGAACCCCAAACCCTAAAACCCAGAATCCCAAAGCCTAAACCCAAAACCCTAACTGAACCCAGAAGTAATTCCTGAAACTCCCAGAACGCTCCCTCAGAAGCCACAGATAGGGGTGGCTATCAAGATTATGGTCACTTTTTGGGTCCCTATTATAGTACGGCAACTATTATTTGGGGTACCCAAAAGGGACCTTAATTTTGACAACCACCTAAATCTGACTGAGGGCCCGGGCAGTGGAGGAGTTCCCATCATAAGCCTGGACGGGCAAGACAAACCCTAAGGGTCCATGTACCTAAATAGGGGTCTCCTTTAAGGGTATCATAAGGGCTCCCTTAAAAGGATCTATAAGGCATCTATAAGGGTTTGGGGTATAAGGGTCCATGTACCTATATAGTATATACGTTGGCCTTAAAGTACTCCCTATATGGGTACATTGGGCCCAAAGTATATACTATTTGGGTACATGGACCCTCAGGGAAAATCCTAGTCCGAGACCTGAAACCCTAAACTAAACTCCGAGCTCTCAACACTTAACAACATTGACAACAAGCAACATGCTTTCCGTGGTTTTCGGGCTCACAAGCCTAGCTTGGAACTGAGAGCTCTTGGAATTTACGACTTTGGAAGGTTTAGGCCTTCAGGGAGTTTCGTTCCAAAGGCTTGCAATGCTTTGGGGGCGTAGTTAAAATCTGAGCACCCCCGTGGCTGAACAACAGGCTGGTCTCAATCAAACTGTACAGGAGTATGGTTTAGGAGTCATCATATTGTCGTTGAAGGCTCTTTTTCTCCGGCAATGTTGGAGTACCACTACGCTTGTATTCTTGCAACACACACAGCAACCATGCAGTCCCCAAAGTTCCTGTGGAGCGCCGTGTGCACTCCCAAAACATCCCAAACCCCGGCCCTCAGATAACCCCTAATAAACCCATACATACATACGTGCATAAGTACATACATGCATGCATGCAGACATACGTACATGCGTAGATACATAGGCATAGGCATAGATCTAAACATTGACATATACTTAACATATGTATATACATATATATATATACATACATACACAACCATGTACATAAACTTATACTTTTTCTGTATGTATACATGCACTCACATGTGTTTTCATCCACATATGTATGTATAGATACGCGTATAGATACACATACAAACGTATTGTATATCATGTGTATACATATATATACATATATATATATATTATATTATGTTACCTAGAGAACCTATACCTACGCAAATTCACGGTAGCCATCCTAAACCTCGGGTCTTGCCTTGAGAACCAGGTTCCGTGATTTCGCGACATGATGGGGTTTGTGAGTCTTTGATGCTCTGGGTTGCGATCGCTATTGAAAGGTAGAAACAATCAAGAATTGAGCTATTGTCGCCACCATTTTGCTGCCAACCCCTGGCACTCCTGTCTTCTTGCACAAGTGAAACGAAAGCCTATGCACTCGAACTCGAATTTGACCTCCGTTCGACTAAAAGCCCAGCTGACACCCAATGCCCGTAGCTTGCTTGAAGATATCTTTGCAACATGCGGCGTACAGTGCCGGAACCTCGGCCGCCAGCGACTCTGCGAGAGAGCCTCGAACCTCGTCCTATCAGGTCCTCAGAGGCCTGTGTAGACCAAAGTAGAGGGTTTGGAGCATCCACTCCTTGTATCGCGGCTTGCCATAAATCCACACCAATATGATGCAGACAGTGCACCTTCGGAGCCAAAAGAAATAGTGTTCGAAAGTCATCACGAGCCAAAACAGCGGCCTCCTCGTAACGCCGTAGGAAGCGAAAACACAGCTCAGCAGCTTTCTTTGCGTCTCGCGGACACAGCCAGGCATCTGATGAATACAGCAATTCCAGAAACTCGTTCATGGTGATTGTACCTTCCATACCCAGTTTCAGTAATGGCTCTGTGTGATCCACTGAGTGAGCCAGAGATTCGATAAATCTCATTAAGGCGGTGGTCACACCGCCTTTGAACCAGCTTCCGATTGGCCAGTCGTTTGTGGACGGCCATTGCAGCGTATCTTTGGTGATCTTCGTCAAGATGGGAGAAGTAGAAGAGCTCTTGCAAAAGTTCAAATATTTCGCCGTGAGATTTTCAAACCTCAGATCGACACTGCTGCCTTCTTCTTCAAAAGACAAAAGGGCCAAAATGGATGCTGTCCAATATTTGCCTATCCCCAAATGCCAGGTGTGAAACAGGTCATAGGCGAATAACTCCTGCAAATTGCCAGGGCTGTGTGGCACTTTTTCAAATGCCGGTGTGGCCCAGAATGGCGAGCTGCAGTTGTCGCCCATGCTCTGCAGCCAGATCGGCCGTCTCGTGCCTATTTGCTCGAACGGTATTTCATCGGGCCCTGCGCCACAACGGTGGCACATCCCACCAGCCTTTTGGTTCTTCTTCTTTACTGCGTTTGCGAATGACCTCTCCAGTCGAGCAACTTTTGCCAGCCAGGGCCAGTCGCCTGTCACCCGCAAAAGGCAAAGCCAGTGGGGCTGCCCATCTCGATCTTTGACACCTGTCGTTGACATGTAAAGGAGCTCATCAGCCGTTGCATCTATCAGTGTATCGAAGATATCTTCACGTTGATGATACATCGCCTTTGTCATTGCACCCAGGATGAATCGAGTAACATACGGGTGCCCAATGAAGTTGGTTTTCTGTTTAACATAACGTTTCTTCGTTTTCTTGGCGGGGCCAGCTCCTCGGCCCAAAACACTGTGAAAAGAAATAATGGTATAGGCCTGGCGACGCCTGCCGCGACCCTCGTCGCCGTGTAAACACACGGCGGCCACCCTTTCCAGCTGCACCTTTCGCTGGTCTGCAAGCCCGAAGATGGCATGACCAGGGTCCAAGGCACGATAGTGCTCCCAAAAACTCGTCCAAATTTTTTGCTCCCGGGCAGGATCTGGATTCAACAAGCCGGCGAGCCTGTGCCAGTTGTTTGTTGCGAGCAGGTACTTGGCCCAGTCTCTCACTCGAATCGTCGGCAACACTTTGAACTTGCTTTGCTTTGAAGCATCCAGCGGTACATCGTGGATTGGAAGTGGTAAAGCTAAACCCATTTTGTTCGCAAGCACTGAATGGGTGTCTCTTTCGCTGTGACTCTCAGAGCATTTTGCGATCCTCAACAGTCCTGGGACCTTGTCTGCACCCGGGCCTAGATCCTTGGCCACATCTCGAGCAGCACGAATCGCCGAGCGGCACGTTGCCTCGGCGAAAAACACGTTTGGATTTCCACCGTTTTGGTAATCCCCCGGGTTGTTAATAGTTTCGCCCAATGATTTTTGCAACAGCGTACATATCTTTGTTCGAGTTTGAAAGACTGTTGCAGAAAGCAGCACCCAGCTCATGGGGCATTTGTAATATAACGACAGCAAGACTCTCGTTTGATCTATTCAGGAACACAACCCAACAAGATTTATTGAAAAGGCAGACCTGTCCGAGAACAAAGCAAACACTTCGTTAGCTGTGCTACAACATTCTACGGAACGATGTTTGGCGATACACTATTTGGACACAAACGGTTTTGATTTGCTTGCTCGTGATGCTCTCTGCACGACATGGATGCTCATGATACTGGAGCCTGTTGCACGGAGAGTATGTTAGTGAAGAAACCAATAGGTTCATGACTTAATGTTGCCACTAAGTATACTCTATTGAAATTTTGCCCTAGGCCCGACAGTGAGGATGTTCCGAAGGATGTTCATTATGGTTCGAAGGTCTTATTTCCTCAAAATACATGTAAGTTACATAGATCTCGCATGTCTCACCCTGTAGTGGACTTACCCTTAAGTAAGCCCCCGAACCCCGGCCGATATGCACAGCAATAGGGAGGATAGGGTCCTGGCCCCTTCGCCGATGGAGTGGCTCAAGCCACGCACGAAGTGGCCGGGAGAGGTACCTGGCCGGCAATTGAGAGCTTGCAAGATGCGAATTAGAGTTATTCGTGAGTGTCAATCTCAACTCTTTTTGTGCGCCCCGGATGCGATGCCCTTTCGGAGCGGTAAGATGCTGAAGCACAGCTGCGACTCTTATCACAGCCCTGCAAACCCCACATCAGTTCGCAACACGGCCCCGGGTCGTGGTGAACTGCTTCGAACTTATCGAAACTAAGACTGCTCGGAACTGATGTTGAACAAATCCAGAGATGCACTCGGCAAAGAAGCGGGTTCGGCCCACTAACTCTACCAGCCTCTCGCAGCAGAAACTTCAAACACAGCTACTTCGTAGGCTTGCGACCTGTTTTAGCCTTGCCTTTGGCGCCTGCCTTGGGAGCAGGAGCACCCTCAGTCTTGGGGGCTTTGGCGGGCTTGTCCTTCTCATCCTTCTCGTAGTACTTCTTTGCATTCCTGCGAGAGAGAACACCAGTGACACCAGTGGCTTGCTTAGTTGGATAGAATTGGTTTGACAAGAACCCTGAAGCGTGTACATTGTGACCTTGCTAACGACGGCAATTCAGCCCTCAAGGCAACTGTCCTCACTTTCATCTCGGTTGCCGATGCTCGACTGCACCTGGTAGATGCTTGGGCTTCGTGGGGGGGAGTGGGGGGCGTCGCTGCATCAAGCACAGCAAAGCAATCCCATAGGTATGTGTAAGTCACCCGCACTGCAGTTGCAGCCTTCATGCGGGCTTCAGCTTGCTTGTACAACCTCGGCTTCAACTTCGGAAGTGGTCCTTTTCTAATCCATGGGCGGTAAGGCCTTATACATGTTATGGGGCCAAGAGGCTCCTCGTCTAGACCTGTGAGGTTCGACTTCGTCTTGATCTCATTGCAGAGGTCATACTCCTTCTCGATGTGCTTGATCTCGGCTTCGAGGTTGTCGATGTTCCTGGGATGCATAGGACGCACATTCAGGGTTGGGATAGGGTTTGGCAGCAGCTCTTGCAAAGAGAACGGTACTAGTAGTGACACTCATAATGCAAGCTGTATGACGACCGGGTCGATGCATCGTTGGAGTGCTTCTTCTTGAGTTCACGGATGAGGGATCGGAGCTTCCCCGATTGAGTCATGATTGAGTCCATGAACTTCTTCAAAGCTTCTTTTGTCTCAGCAGGGGTGGGACTACTCATTTCCAGACTATGCACGGCTGTGTAAACACCAAACCTGCCTGGTTAAACTTATGCATGCTTGGGTCAACTTTGAGGTCCGCAATAGGCAAAGCATTGGCCCGGTCGTTGTAGAGATCATTGGCGCCGAAGTCCATGAGGTGGCCCGGGGCTTTGTCGATATCGT